TCCGGTTTCGGCCAAATTTGCTGTTCCGGTGTAGCGCTAGTACTAGTCAATTATGTATGGCATAAATTAACAAATGGTCCTGCCCAGTGCTTCGAAGCTCGTACCAAAATTCGTACTCGTACCTCGTACTCGTACCTCGTACGAAGTACGAGTACGAGTACGAGGCCAAAAAAAGTGAAAAGTACGAGGTACGAGGCCTAAGTACGAGCTCGTACTTCTCGTACTTGGTGTTAATGGGAAAATTGAAATAATATATTTAATTTTTTTCTTTACCATTATATGAGCGGGTGGTCGAATGGTGAGGTGCCTGGCTTCACCGAAGTCTGTAATATTTATTGTTGGGTTCGATTCCTTTTCGGTCGACAAAGAATTTTAATATTTTTCTTTTCCTAAATAACTTATTTTATAAGTTTAATTTTATTTTAAAAATATTCTATTTTTACACGGAGTATTTTGATTGCCTGCGGCGCAGAAGAATGCAAGAAATCTGGCTCACGGCCTTAAAAATGTTAGAAAATTTTCGCCTGCGGCGCAAAAATGGAAGAAATCTGACTTAAGAACATCCAAAATTCTCAAAATTTTTGCCTGCGGCGCAGTAAATTGATTATATTAGAGGATTTATGGCTTCAAAGCCTTCCAAGATTCAAAAATTATCGTACAAACGCTTAAAATTTAAAACTAGATGTCCTGGAATCAAAAAAATTATAAAAATTTTAGCTTTTTTGATTTATTCTCAAGTACGAGGTACGAGTACGAGGTACGAGGCCTAAAATAGGGGTAGTACGAGGTACGAGTACGAGTACGAGCAAAAAAATGAGGGTGGTACGAGGTACGAGTACGAGGCCAAAAAAAGAGGTGGTACGAATTACGAGTACGAGTACGAGCAAATTTGAAATTTCGAAGCACTGGTCCTGCCTCATAAATTGACGGTATCTGATATATTATCGCTGATTCACTAGACCACATATCTAACAACAGGGGATAGGATACAGCTTGTAAAAGGTAATAAATAACCAACAAGTATCGAATAAAATTAACTTACGTTATAACAGTTATTTCAATGCAAAGTTTACAAATTGCATTAACACTACACTGATGCTAATAAGATCGCTAATCGCCTCATTTGTCAAGTTAAAATAAGTTAGTATTATACCCCCAATATTTATAATCAAAATATTAATAAAATGGAAGAGAAAGGAGGGTGCCAATTGCTTTCCTGTATAAACATTTTCTAATTGTCGTAAACGCTCATTCAAAGTGTAATTATTTTTTGTGTTAGATTTGTTATTCAAATATTTTTTATACATTTTTTTATTGACGGCTGACAATCGAGAAAATGCCTAAAAATTTTCTAGATTTAAATTAAAATATAAAACATACAATTAATTCTATTATGCTGAATAACAGTGAAGCATTCATTATAAAAATGCTAAATAAATTAGTTACATTGGCATTTGCGGAATTTGTAGGTATTAATCTATCAAATATTGTCAAAACCAACTGAAAATTGATAAGGTAACTAACTCTCTATATAACAAAAAGGGGTAATTTTTATAGGACTTATTTTAAATTATAGGTGTTATACGTACAGTGAGACGTCCAAGATTTTTGTTTTAAGTTTTGTCGACTTTTGGGGGTTTTTTCGCTATTCTCGGCTAAATAATTACATGAACACTGTTTCTGGATATAAGGATTATACCATTGTCACTTACTAAGGCAATAACGAGCTAAATCATCGTATTTATTCTAATAAAACCATTTTGATCAGAGCTCCCCGTAATTTCGGATTGCGTAAAATTACGTGTTTCTTGGGTTACGGATTTTAAAATTAAAATTGCGGTTGGGGAAAAATTTTTTTCAATTGCGGACAGCCCTGATTGTAATTCTAATAGATTAGAAATAAAGTGTAATATCGAGAAAAAATATTAATTAAATACCAAAATTAAAATACAACAAATTCCAAAAATTGGAATTTTTGTTTGGCTATATTTTGTAGCAAATAAAGTAGCTATAGTTCTCTCCAAAATTAAAACATGTCCAATTAAATTACCAAAATTTACACTAACTAATCCAATATTTGCATCAAAATAATATATTGAATTATATAAATTATTTTGTTTGAAGATGATTAGAATAATCCTTAAAAATAATTTAATTTAATTAATATGTATAGTCAGATCTCACTATATAGAAAAGCTATAAGAACGAAGTCTGCAACTACTTCCTTTATTGAGATCTCAAAACCGTAAAATCAAAAAACGGGGTTATAGTACTTCAAAAAATATCTATTTTAACCCCCTTAACTTAACATTTTTCCGAACCCTGCATAGAACCAATTTCGCTGTAGTGACTGCCTTCGTCTGAAACATTAGTGGATCTGATACATCTTATAAGTGTGACAGACCGTTTAATTTTTTTGTGTAACTAAATATCGTCTCAGGGACGTATCAGGAAAGTGGTCTTTTTAAGGAGGTCTCTGTTAACAATGTACTACTGAATTAATATGGGTTAACTCATAATGAGATCTTTCATTTTTAATTCAATTCAAGATTAACTTACAATATTAACCGAGTCATTGAATAAATAAAAATAGCAATACTTTGTGAAATAAGAATAATTTTAGAATTATTATTTAAAACACAACTTTTCCACAATAAAAATAAATTTAAAAGGGAAGAAGGAATCAAAATTGTTATTGGGATTATTTCAATAAATGCAACAGAATAGCCTATTGGAGTTATTTCCATTTTTTATCTTGCTAAAAAATTCTTAAAAATAAAGTTATTTCGTAGATCTAACAAAATGTGATACAAAATCTGCGAAATGTTTTAATTGAACCAAAAATGTAATCAAGTAAACTTTATTATAAAAAGCTATGATATAATTAGTAATGATGGCCGTGAGTTAAAAAAATCCGAGAGTCGGGAGTCGAGACCGGAAATTAACCCCAAGACCGAGTCCCGGGTCAAGACTGAGAGTCGAGACCAAGAGATTAGGAGGGAAATCACTTGATATACCCCTATATATCCTTCATAATTTATTGAAATATTTTTTAACTGCATTTTATTACAGTCAAATAAACTAATATTATAAAATAAGAATTAAATTAAAAAATATGAACCATGAAGTTATAAATTTATACATACATATATTTCTAAGTATACATACAAGTCAACAAAATTTTCCCATGTAAAAAAATCTTTTTACTTTATAAAAAAGTGTAAATCTAAATTAAATGTAAACAAGAAAATAAAAATTTATCAAGATTTCTCACGTTTTTAATTAATTTATTAATTAGAGAAAATTAAATTTTTGCCCATTAAAAAATTTTATTTCTTTATATTTTTTGTGAAAATATTTTATATACTATGGAATAAAAAAATTAAAATAAAAAATAAAATTTTATCGTAGTTTTGGATTCTTGATGACCTTATGAATAGGGTTATTGGTTTAAAGCCGAATAAGTTAAAAACTCAAAATTTCGTAAGAAAATTTTTCTACAATTTTTTCTATCACATCCAAGACTGTTTTAACATTTCAAAATGCAAATCCTGTTCTTTTGAAGCCATTTGTTGTGAAGTAATTACTGTTTGTCTTTGAACATCTACTCTAGAAGAGTGTCCACATTTTATAAAATTAATTATTGTTGTAATTATTTTATTTAAATTTTTGTTTAAAACTGGGTGAAAACTAGAAAAATAAATTTTGTTGTTAAAATAACAAATTAATGGTGAATTTCAAAGGGTTATTTCGAGTGTGATCTTTATTGGGATTATGTATTCAAATTTGTGTCTATTTTTAAGGGTGCTTGTCTTTTTGAATTGAACAATTGTTTCTGTTTAAGACAAATTGGATCATTTACGGAAACAAATACGGATTTTCATCTGTACATTAGGTGACCTAACAATGAGAATAGATGTATACTAGAGAGTGTCTTGTGAATAATTTAATGGGTCGATGTAATCTTGAGATATTATAAGTCCAAGAAACAAGATTTTATCCTTATTATTATCCTTATTTAGCCCCGCAGGCAAAAAATTTCTTGTTTTGGAAAAATCAAAAAAGTTTACTTACGTTATTACAGTTACTTCAATACAAAGTTTACAGATTGCAAGTATTACTACACCGAAACTAATAAGATTCCCCATCATTTCATTTGTTAAGTTGAAGTAAGTTATTGATACAGCTATAATATCTGTACACAAAATATTAATAAAATGAAAGAAAAAGGAAGGTGCCAATTGCTTTCCTGTATAAACATTTTCTAATTGTCGATATCGCTCATTCAAAGTGTAATTATTTTTTGTGTTAGATTTGTTATTCAAATATTTTTTATACATTTTTTTATTGAAAGCTGTCAATCGAGAAAATGCCTAAAAATTTTCTAGATGTAAATTTAAATATTAGACATACAATTAATTCTACTAAGCTTAATACCAGTGAAGCATTTATTACAATAATACTAAATAAATTAGACAAATTTCCATTAGTAGTATATGTAGGTATTAATCTATCAATTAATGACAAAAACAACTTTAAAAAATAGAATATTAAACCAACTTTCGATATAAAGGCTCGGGATAATCTTATTTGATATAAGGAAATCACAAAAATTAAACTACTATTACTAAATTTACATTGTTTTCTAAGGATGGCGGTTCCTAGGAAATCTACGGATATCCGGAACCGGAACCGGTATCCGAACCAAAGATTTCTAGATATCCGAGGTTTTTTCGGTTCCGGATACCGGGAACCGCCAGCCTTATTGTTTTCCCCTGTATTTTTACGGATATCAAGCACCATGCTTTGGAAAATATAGTCGGTTTTTTTACGATATTTCAGTACGTCTATTTTTTTGTAGTAATATTTGGGGACCATTTAATTCACTTTTTACCAGTCCTAAATTGAGTTTAATCTCGAGTTCCGAAATCACAAATCGCTCCAAACTTTCGGAACTTTCGGTTCACGTAAAATTACTTTCTATATGTTTATAATAAAATCTAATTGAATACCAAAATTAAAATACAACAAATTCCAAAAATTGGAATTTTCGATTGGCTATATTTTGTAGTAAATAAAGTAGCTATAGTTCTCTCCAGAATTAAAACGTGCCCAATTAAGATACCAAAATTTATAGTAGCTAATCCAATATCTCCAAGAAAATAGTACATTGAATTAAATAAATTGTTATGTTTAGTGATGACCAGAATAAGCCTTGAAATAAAAATTTTTTTTATAAATTTATTCGGACCTCACTATAAGACACAGAATTTGGCGTAATTTTTGAAACAGATTGTATTATGAAGTACTATTTTTTTAAGTATCGACAACCATTCCCTATTAACCTCTCATGATTGAATCTTGCCGAAATATTAAAGAAGGCGAACTAATAAGAAGCGATGTATGAATTTAATAAAGGATCAAAGCAAAATCTGCCCGACGTAAAAAGACTTTTAGTTAAAGAAAACTTAAAGCAGATAATTTAAACCGAGACTTACATGTAGTTAAAAAATTTTATTATTTATAATATTGTGTTTTATATTATAATGAGGCTTGCTTTATAAATTTCAAAAATCAACTTACACAAATAACCGTGTTGATGAATAAATAAAAATAGCAATACTTTGTGAAATAAGAATAATTTTAGAATTATTATTTAAAACACAACTTTTCCACAATAAAAATAAATTTAAAAGGGAAGAAGGAATTAAAATTGTTATTGGGATTATTTCAATAAATGCAACAGAATAAACTGTTGGAGTTATTTCCATTTTTAATTTTTGCTAAAAAATCTTGAAAATTTGTAAGAATGAACAATTAAATTTCATAAAGTTATTTCGAAATATTTTGTCAAAACGAGTTTGTTGATATTTAATAGGTAAGAAGTTTAATTTAGAACCGATCTGTGATTAAGCAGAACGTGTATTCTATGACTAAAACTAAAAGATCTCCATCGTAGAAGTATCGAATCGAACAAAAACATTCTTACCAGTTATTAACCTAGTGGTACCAGCTGTGGATAGGCCCACATGCGGACATTTTTCGATATTTAGACGTCCTGGAACCAGAATTGCCTGAAAAAATTGACAAATTATCTGAAAATATCCCAATTTTAAGAAAAATCTTCAAAAAACCTAGAATAGGTCAAAAAAGGTCGAAATAGGCTCAAAATAGGTTTTAACCCCGAAAAGGCCGAAATAGTCTTTTTAGGTTCTAGTAACTTGAAAAGTACCCCGCGCTAAAACAGTGTTTTTTCGACTTACATATCTCATCATGGACACGCTCTAATTATTGTTATTAATAAAATCTCAAAATTATTATTATTTTTTTTTCAATTTAAAAAATTTTTATTAACAAATTTCTTGAATGCTTGTTAAAACATTTTAATATTATTATATGAAAAGCAAAATGAAAAGTTAAACATAAACAAATAAAAATTTTTTTAACAATTCTAAGTACATATTCACAAGCCAATAAAATTTTCCCAGGTAAAAAAATCTTTTTACTTTATAAAAAAGTGTGAATTTAAATTAAATGTATACAAGAAAATAAAAATTTTTATCAAGATTTCTCACGTTTTTAATTAATTTTTTAATTGACGAAAATTAATTTTTTTTGCCCTTTAAAATAAAATAATATTTTTATTCCTTTACTTATATTTTTTGGAAAAAATATTTATCATGGAAATAAATAACAAAAGTTTAATTTGTTAAATAAATTACAGGGTGCGTAAAAAGTTCCCGGAATTAATCAAAATGAATTTATTTTGTTTAGTATCAAAATAAAAAAGAGTTTACACAAACACAACGTTTGAAAGAATCTTGTTGTGCCAAGTATTGCAATTTAATTCCTACCCAATAACCCCAAACTCAAATAAAAACTATTTAAAAAGAAGAAAATTTATTTAATTAAAAATTATCCAAATATAAGAAGGGGCAGAAAAATCATATTGAAATTTAACTATTTTAGCAAGTGACAACCGGAGTTGTCAATTTTAACTGGTAGGCCGGCGGAGGCAGAGTTTATTGTAAAAAGTGAAAAATAATGAAAAAATAAATTTTAAGTAAAATTTGTGCGATTTGCGCGCACTTGTAGATAAATAATCATAAAAAATGTTCAAAATTAGATCCGCCGCTATTCGACATATATTCTGTGAAAAATAATTATGATTAAATGTTTTCTGAATCATAAATAGTGCTAAATATGATTATGAACGAATTTTGATGTAATAATCCATGTTTAAGTTCAATAATTGAAATTAAAAAAAAATTCCGGGAACTTTTTACGCTCTCTGTATATAATTTAAGCAAAATTTCGTAAAATGAGAATTTTTTCCACACTTTTTTCTATCACATCCAGGACAGTTTTAACATTTCAAAATGCAATTCCTGTTCTTTTGAAGCAGCAACATTTTGTTGTAAATTAATTACTGTTTGTTTTTCAACGTTTATTTTATTAGAAGAGTGTCCACATTTTATAATTTTATTTAAATTTTTATTTAAAACTGGATGGCATCTATAAATAGAGATTAAAGAAGATTTATTAAAATAAATGGTCTAGTCAAAGAGTTATAAACTTAGGAAAGTAGGGATGTGTGGGAATAAAAACATAGCAGTAAGAAACGAGATCAGAATCTTGTAAATTTGTTCTCGAATCGCGATGTCAAGTTTAGGTGTCTTGGTTAGTCCTTCTTTTTAATATAACCAGCTAGGGTAAGTTTACATACTTACGTTATTACAGTTATTTCAATACCAAGTTTACAAATTGCAAATATTAATAATGAGAAACTCATAGAATTGTTCATCATTTCATTAGTTAAGTTGAAATAGTTTATTGTTATAGAAGCAATACTTGCAGTCAAAATATTAACAAAATGAAAGAAAAAGGAAGGTGCCAATTGCTTTCCTGTATAAACATTTTCTAATTGTCGATAACGCTCATTCAAAGTGTAATTATTTTTTGTGTTAGATTTGTTATTCAAATATTTTTTATACATTTTTTTATTGAAGGCTGTCAATCGAGAAAATGCCTAAAAAGATGTTCAAATTTAAATTAGAATATAAAACATACAATTAATTCTATTATGCTGAATAACAATGAAATATTTAATAAAATAACACTATATAAATTTGATATACTGGGATTATTAGTATTTGAAGGTATTAATCTATCAATTATTGTGAAAAACAACTGAAAAATAAATAATGTTATTAGATTCTACTCCGTCAACGAAACTATCGGAAATTTGAGTGAATTATCCCCCATCTTATGAAACATAAAAGTAAAGTTAGCAAAGGTAATTTGGCCTATCCGCTTCCTATATCCGTCTCCTATCGTTAAAACAAGATTAATTAGATACCAAAATTGAAATACAACAAATTCCAAAAATTGGAACTTTAGTTTGGCTATATTTTGTGGCAAATAAAGTAGCTATAGTTCTCTCCAAAATTAATACATGTCCAATTAAATTACCAAAAGTTACACAAACATATTCAATATTCCCGATAAAATAGTATAATTTAATGAATAAATCATATTGTCCAGAGATGACGAGAATAAGCCTTAAAAATTAAATTGTTATCTTTTATCTTTAATTGTTAGAGTGCGAAATGAGTTAACGATATTATGATTTTGCCAATATTCCAAATCGCAATATGTTTAATTTATGAAAAAATGAAAGTAAACAATGAAACAGCTACGGGACAAAAAAGGAAAAGCAAGCAACAGTTTTGACCTATGCTAAAACGCTAATGATAACGATTCATTTCAGAATCAGCAAACAATCATCAAGCATTCATAATTAAGGCCATATTTTGCGATTTTGTTTCAATAAATTTACGCACTCTAATTGTTTTTAAAAATTAACTTACACATATAACCGTGTTGATGAGTAAATAAAAATAGCAATACTTTGTGAAATAAGAATAATTTTAGAATTATTATTTAAAACATAACTTTTCCACAATAAAAATAAATTTAAAAGGGAAGAAGGAATTAAAATTGTTATTGGGATTATTTCAATAAATGCAACAGAATAAACTGTTGGAGTTATTTCCATTTTTAATTTTTGCTAGATTTTGGCCTTAAATTAATTTAATATTATTATTTTAATGTTTTTATCGGGTTTTATGTTTAGCTGGAATATAGCTACCGTAAATGCTCGAATAATTACCCTGGGTAATTATAGTTTCAACCTTTAGCTAAACAGGGTAATTATTTGAGAGGGGGCAATTATATGAGAACGGGTAATTATTCGAGCATTTACGGTAATTTCTGGAAATAGCTCTAATTCAGTATTAAATTCGAGCCTTGAATATTCCGCAACATTTTTTGCCGTTTAATTGAATCATTTTTTGCTTGCTAATGTAATTTTCTCCGTTTTTAATATTATTAGAAAATTATATCATGTGTTGTGTATATAATAATTAAATTTAAAAATTGCCAAGGTGGCTAATAATTAAATTTGTAAAATATCCAATACCTATGGTAACGGCTTTATCCAATTAATTATTAATTAAATTAAAAATTTTTATATAAAATTTTAAATTCTATTTAAAGCAAATAATAATTTTCATCAATTTATTGATAATAAAAATAGTAAGTAATAATTAAAAAACAAATTTACTCAAAATAAAACAGAATTAGCTTATTAAATTATTAATAATTTGAGCTAATTTTAATAAAAATTAACATACACTGCATGTACATAAGTGGCACATACATTTATATGGCACAAGGAAATATCGGGACGGTTATATCGGGATATCTCAATGTACAAACACCCTACCCTACTGATTTCGGGACCTACGGCCACTGGATCTTGAATAGTATATTGTCCCATTGAGGAAATAAGTTTTTATGTTTTAGAACTAACGTAAACACGCAAAAAATTATTTTTGTCACCCTAATCCCAATATGCTCGTCCCGATATGTCCGCGCACCCATTTATATACATATTACTAAAAAATTGTCTTAATTTCCTCGTGCATACATATATTATTATAAATGGGTTACATTAATTGCATATAACTGGCACATATTTTTATTGACTTTGTGGCCTTTGACTTTACGTGAATAAACTAAATAAACTAAAAATTTGCTTAATATTTTTAGAGGGAAAATTTGAAATAAATTAAGCCAGACCTGCTCACGGATACGCATAATATCCGGATACCCGCGGATATCCGCGGATACGGATGGATATGGATAGTGTTTTTAAAAAATTTGGACGGATACGGATGGATACGGATATGATGCTTCAAATCCGCGGATATCCTGCGGTGAATTTTTTTCGCTTTCGGCCTTTCAAAATGTTAAAAAAGATCCCTTGATCGATAGAGGTATCAATAATCCTTCCATATTTTTCCATTGAGGATATGGAAGGGATTAAGAAATTAAGGCACTTAAGAAGGAGATTAAGTGTACTAGAAGAAAGAGCATATTGGAAGATTAAAGTGGGATATTGTTAAAGATAAAAGGATCAATAGGGATATTGAAAGTTAAAGTGTAAAATTGATTTAAGAGCAAGGGGGATATCGAGGAATATTTTGGAATTAAACGGATATTTACAATTAAGATGGATTTAATAAAGATGGATATGTAGCTTAATCTTATCATTCAGGAGTTCATTAATAGTGATTTGCGGGATTAGAAGGGATTTACTCAAGGAGTTTTAGTGATATTTATATTGATTTTGATATTTAATTTTTATATTTTTTTCTGTTTTCTTCCTGCCAAACTGTTAATTTCTGTTGCTTTTATTTTTTATCTTCTATAAAATTTCGATATTGAGAAATAAAAGCCCATGCCCTAATAGAAGCCCATGCCCTATTAGAAGCCCAGTCAATGAGGGGTATTGAAAAATAGACGCCCAGGGCTTGTATTAGAGACAATACGGTAAATAAATTTGACCATTTTGAAAATTCTAGCCAGGCTGACCATTTTGAGAAAAAACGGATATATCCGCGGATACCCGCGGATGGATATGCCTAAAAAGTTGAACGGATACCATTTGCACGTGACAAACTTGCTCCAGACTTTCTTTTTCAGCAAGATGGAGCTACTTGTCATACCAGTCAATTGATGTATGGACCAGTTCGAAGACTTCCAGGGGGTAGAAAATTGAGATTACCGGGATGGTTCAAATTAAATAATGTTCCTCTTTTACGTACACCTCCTATGTCACCTGATCTGTCACCCATTGAAAATTTATGGCTCGTTGTCAAGAGGAAAATTGTTGGAAAGCACTATCATTCTAAAATCCAACTTTGGAATTCAATTTCTGAGGCTTGGAGTAGTATTCCTCTTGATACAATTATTTCCTTAGTTAACTCTATGCCAAGACGTATTGAGGCTGTTATTAATGCGCGTGGCGGTCCCACAAAATACTAATATTTCTGATTTTGATAAAGTGTTTGTAAACATATGCACCATTAAAAATTTAGTTGAAGTTGTTTAAATGAAATTATTAAAATAATAAAGTGGTGAATAAAATTATAAATGATATCATTGGATACCGCATAAATTATTTTACATAAAAATGTTGATACATTATCTATCATAGTTAATTTTGCCAAGTTATCGTGAATTTTAATTTATCTTAGCAAGTGTTTGTAAACATATGCACCGCACTGTATTTATTTTTCTGTAATTTTTATTATTTACTAGTTTATTATTTTAGCGTCGCAGACGAAAATTTTGAAATTTTGTAAAGTCTATGGAAGAAATTAACATTTATAATCATCTCTCCTCCCATTTATTTAAAAAATTTCTATCATTAGGGGTATAAAAAATTGGCGTTCTGGCGCGCCAAAATATGAAAAACACGCCAAAAGCCAAAATCGGCCAAAATGGGCGCTAAACGGAAAGCCCTGCTCTCGACAAAATTACAAATCCGAGCCCTATTAATAATAAAAGCCATTCATTAATATTTATTTATTAGTATGTATTTATTCATATATTAGCCCAATGAATTATTAATTATCCATATTTATCAATTATCTATTATTTTTAATTATTTATTATCTTTATTATTTAATTATTTATTTTCTTCCATTTTTAACAAGGCTTTTGAACATCCATGCCATTATTGTGTATAAGGTTGCAACCATTACAAGAAACTAAATTGAGAAGAAAATTATCAATTGACAGATTTATTAAGAATAAAAATGTAATTTTATTTTGAGGCCCATTATGCCATTATTATATGCAATTAGGCAATAATAACGTAAGAAATAGTTTATCATACTTGCGAGATACTGAGCGTTCAAAAATGTGTTGTCATTAGGTATGAAAGTCATGCTTGTTTGAAAGTCGTATGTTTTACCAGTACCGCTATTTTTTATTTGACTTGCTCCTGTATTGAGAGCCAAAAATGTATAGCTCGCTGAAAATTAATATTTTTTGATTATTTTTCCACCCAAAAATCAAACCATTAGCATAAATTAAATAATCGGCCTGGTAGAGAGGTGCACTTTGAGTTACTGTAAAGCAACCTTTATTGTCTGATGTGCAAACACAGAATTTTGTTGAATCGGTACAACGAATTCTAACAACGCTTATAGTACTTGGATTGTAACAAGCCTAAATAAATTTGTCTGAATTTAGTTTTATTACGATTTTTCCCTAGAATAAGGGACTCTCTTAATAAAGGGATATGAGGGAATAGATATAAATAAATAAGGCTATTATTATGTCTGAGGGGTTCCGGGACGTTTTAACAAAAGTAATGAAGGAGAGGGAAGTATGTGGCCGGAACATACATAAGATTTGTGCCTAGCCGGTCTAGTATGATCCATCTATTCCTGATAGGCTTTTATACCAGCATAAACCGACATTTATATAGTACTCCACTACAGAACAACTATGAAAACATTTTTGCAGTGTAAGTATAATACCTGGGAAACGTCTTTGTCCTTGCAATTGTAGATGCACTCGGTTGCTGCCAAATTGTTAATAGTTTGATTACTCAACAATGTATTTTTTTCGTATATTACTTTCGATTGACCAGCTGTACAATTAGCGCAATCTGTTAATATTTAGGTTAGAATTATATTAATTAATCGCTAGAGTTTAAGGAATTCAATGATAGGGATAAGACTATTCTTATTATTTTGCACTAAGAATTAAAAATTTGATGACATACTTATTGGCGGTGTTGTGGTTGTGGGTAAGGCTGTTGTGGTTGTAGGTAAGGTTGTTGTGGTAGTTGGCAAAGTAGTTGTGGTTGTAGGTAAGGTTGTTGTGGTGGTTGGCACGGTTGTTGTGGTTGTGGGTAAGGTTGTTGTGGTGGTTGGCAAGGTTGTTGAGGTTGTGGGTAAGGTAGTTGTGGTGGTTGGCAAGGATGTTGTGGTTGTGGGCAAGGTTGTTGTGGTTGTGGGTAAGGTTGTTGTGGTGGTTGGCAAGGTTGTTGTGGTTGTGGGTAAGGTTGTTGTGGTTGTGGGTAAGGGTGTTGTGGTTGTGGGTAAGGTTGTTGTAGTAGATGGTTCGGTTGTTGTGGTAGTAGGCAGAGTTGTTGTCGTTGTTGGTAAAGTAGTTGTAGTAGTTGGTAAGGTTGTTGTTGTAGTTGGTTCAGCAGTAGATGTAGTGGAAGGTTGGGTTGTAGTTGTAGTTGGCTGTGTGGTAGTTGTAGTCAATTGTGTGGTAGTTGTTGATGCAACTCCACATGCGTTCGAACAGTTCTTTTTACAAATTACACCGCCTAATTTGTTAAAGCATGCTATGTCATTCCACTGTCCAGTTGTTGCGCTGTACATGGCAGCGCATGCTTCTTGTTGACCAGCTTTAAAACGAAGACATTTTTATTAAAAGTTTTTTGAATACAGTATAGTTGGAAAATTATCTGCCGATTGAGATTTGTATTATATACAATTGGTTCCTCCCCCGAGAAGTATTTGTTCCTCCCCAGAAATCACTTGAATGTTTATTCTTGTATTTTAGGGTTCTAAATAGTATCAACCTCTTGGATTTATACTTACATGCTGTTCCCGTTTCAGTTCCTGATGGACCTCCAGTGATGTTAAGATAATCACAACTTGTTCCATCCGAATTAATGCAATCAACCGTAGCATTGTATGTAGGATAAAATGCACAACGGTGCAAGCCTAACCAGAGTGAACGCCACTGAATGTCTTGAGTAGTAGAAACTCTACTGGCACACACCGATGTGTTTGTTTGACAAGCAGTTATATATGGGCCGGCTAATTGTCGAATAAATTCGTTTTCAGCTGAGCTATGAACAGATACGACTTCAGCTCCGAGCGCAAGACATTGTGCATTTGCCTTTAAATTTAGGAATTATATTTAATCTCGAGTATTTTTTTGCGTTTACCTCATAAAAATTAAGCCAATCCTTCATTACAACTTGATACCCATACGTGTTTCCATCCTCTCCTGTTCTTTTAGTCCAATTGCCCGATGTACAACTTGCTTAAACAATGGACAATTAATTTTAGTTAGATCTATTAAATTGTGAAAACTTACTGTCCGTTATGTCAGAAGGGCTAGTAATTAAAGCATTCTTGATAGATGTACTTCCACATGTTCCTGTACAATTTCTTTTACAAACGACGCCACCCAATTTTTGGAAGCATGATAAATCGTTCCACTCCCCAGTTGTGGCATTATACATTGAAACGCAGTCCTCAATGAGACCAGCTTTAAATTTAAAAATATGATTATCATTAATAATTCAAATATTTTAGTCGTACTAGTGTTGGCTATAGGACCGTAAGCTAGCACCGGGACTGGTTCCATCTGGGCCCGTAGAATAAATTCGGGGTAACATAACCGGTTGAATAACCGGGTAAAATAACCCTGGGTTAAATAACCCTGAGTTCCGAGTAAAATTGGTAGAATAAATTCCGTAGAATAAATTCGCATTTTTACTCCAAACTAGAGTATACTGTAACTCGCGAGTAACTCTAATTTCATTTCTATATTGAACTTCCATTAAACAGCTTTAACTTTTAAGTAAAATCATTAGAGTTAGAAGTTTGAAAATGCCGGATCCGGTTTCCGGATTATAATTTTTCTCATCCGGACTGGACTTTCCGGATCAAAATCCGGATTTTTGAGATAAATCCAAACCTGGATTTTCAAAAAAATTTTTTTTCATAATATTTTTTCATTTTTTGAATATAAAATTTTTTTAAGATTTTGAAAACTTAATATATTTTGGAACAGAGCAATCGAGACGCGTTTTACCCTGTTACACTGCCCCCGACCAGTGTAGCAATTTTACCCTTAGCTGAGGGTTATTTGACCCGAGTAAATAATTTATTCTACCAATGTGAAATGCTACTCGTGGTTTTGGGTTAAACTACCGGGTTGTTTAACCCTGAACTCAGAGTAGGAATTTATGCTGCGGGTTGCGAGTTATTTGACCCTCGGGTAGGGGTTAAATAACCCTTACCCCGAATTTATTCTACGGGCCCTGGAGCCTTAACCTAATGGCCGAGCCCCACAAAACATTCAATAACACACTGGTCGGCAACTAAGTCTTATTTTTACATAAAAATTTACCTCCGCCTCCGCTGTCAGATCCTGAAGGATTTCCCCAAGCCCATGGGAAAGGAGAAGGGCCTGTAAGAATTACGGCATTTGTAGCTGCATAATCACATGGCGTTCCATCCGAATTTATACAATCAACTGTAGCATTGTAACTTGGAAAATATTGACAACGATGCATTCCCAACCAAACTACACTTAAAACAGTATCAAGACTTGTAGTTGCTCTAGCACCACATGTTGTTTTATTTGTCTGGCACCCGATAATATAGGGGGCGGCCAACTGGCGAACAAAATCATTCTCAGCGTTACTGTGGATAGATGCCACATCTCCTCCAACTCCGAGACATAGAGCGCGGGCCTTTAAATTTATCAAACAAAAAATTTTTTTAATTAATGTTTACTTAACCAGCCCTAGTTTACTATTAGGATTCCTATTGTTTAAAATTTTTCCTGAATCTTTAAAATAATTTTAATACTTCAGGTATTTAAAATAAAGCTGCGAACTTCCTAATAAGCATTTTCTCCATCTTTTCTAGGACTAAATTATTTTTACCTCATAAAAATTAAGCCAGTCTCTCGCAAGTACTTGATAACCATATGTATTTCCATCTGTAGCAACACGCGTTGTCCAGTTCCCTGAGAGACAATCAGCGTCGACAACTGAAGGAATAATACAGAAAGCGATAATTAATCCAATAAGGGTCATTTTTGTTACTTTACCCTTAATATTTTTAAATTATTTATTTTCATTTATTAATTAATAAAAATGACATTATGGGCTTGAAGTCATACTTAACCCAATTACCATATTGGAAAGTACCTATTGGATGAACCGACATTAGTGGTATCTTTTCAGTCCTGACCGTTCAAATCACAATCGAGTCAAAGAGGGAATGCCTAACTTATTCAATGCCTGACTTATTTCTTGGATTCAAATATAATTTAAACATCAATTTTAATTCAAACGTAAGACTTGTATTAATATGGCATGCTCTAATGAAAAAAAATTTCTAATTTTGAAGATAGTATGTATACAAAATTAATATACCTATTGAAAAAAATCCTATGCGGCACATTTTAATAAAAATTTACTATATTTTATTTCAAGAAAATTTTTTAAATTTTCTTATGAAAAATTTCATTAAAAAAATTGTGATAAAAGAATGATTAAATATAAAAAGCTTTCACTGATTTAAATATAAAGGAAAAACTTGGCCAAAATTTTTTTATTAATAAAAATTCACATAAAATTTTATATCAAAAAAATTTATTTCCTCAATTCAACAAAAATCCCTCAAATTTTTATTAAGTTTCTTTTGTTAAAAAAATTTTTTTAAAGAAACATTTTATTATAGAAGATAAAATTTTTTAAATTTTTTATTTCATTTTATTCAACTTTTTAAAATTTTTTTCTTTTATTAAAAAATCTAAAAATAAATTTTTTATGACCAAATTCTATCCCATTTTATTTATGTATTATAATTTTATGCTTATAATTGAATTTTATGACTAGAATTTTAGATGTACTTTATCAAACTGTGTATTTAGTTCCTTATGAAGATTAACTGTCTATATCTCTCTATTAAATATTTTTGAAAAATTCAATGCTGCTATATTAAAGCAAATTTCAAGTACTTTCTAATAAAGTTGTCGAAGGTGCCTTACGGTGTCGAAAATATTTTTAAAGAGAACTGTCCGTGTTTTACGTTGATTTTAGACGTTTTCAATGGTGTCCAGATCTCGAATTTATCTTACCCTTCTTCAAGGTTTTTAAAAATTTGTTAAACTTTAAAAATCTAATCAAATTCATTTTATTTTATTGAATATTCGCTAAATTATTACTAAATTTATCCGATTTAAAATTGAGTAAGGTTATTCCAATGACGAAGAGGGTTGTTTCAGCAACGACCACTCCAGCGAGAGGTCAAAACAATAATTACCAAGGGTAATTATTTGATTTACGGTACATGCTAGCGACAAACTCGGGGCTTTATTTGAAAATAATAGCCATATAAACTAACATTTAGACAAAATGTTTATCAATATTACTTTAGATTTTCAAATTAGGTATATTAAATATTTATGAATAGTCATGAAATTGAGTAAAGCAGCTGGGCTATAGCTATTTCTCTCCTTTAGCTAGTGCAAAAGGTTAATCGGCGGCTGTGAGCGAACCAGCATCTTCAGTAGACCGGACTGATGTGTTAGCCATTACACCACGCCGCCTACTGCTCAGCCTTAGGAAATTAATAGCTATATGCTTTACACCTCCATCCCCAGGGAAGACTGTCCCTAGTCTTCTTATCTGCCCTCTTCCCGCTTTTTCTCTCACCTGCGGGGTAAACTAAATCATCGCCTTCTCTGGCGGAATTTCCTTTTCTCTAACCCAGGGCCTATGGGATGGATCGTCATTCGTTCAGCGTTCGCTGAACCATCCGGTGCTACCAGTAAAGCAGCTGGGCTATAGCTATTTCTCTCCTTTAGCTAGTGCAAAAGGTTAATCGGCGGCTGGGAGCGAACCAGCATCTTCAGTAGACCGGACTGATGATTTAGCCATTACACCACGCCGCCTACTGCTCAGCCTTAGGAAATTAATAGCTATATGCTTTACAATTGTTCAGCAAGTATATGGTTTATTCTTTAACGGATCTCTGATAGCATCACAACCAGAACAAGAAACTAAATTTAGAAAAATTACTATAAAAATAATGTTTATGATAAATCAATCTTAAATTATTTTTGCGAGGCCACACATCCGAGACGTGTGTTTGTTTATTCACATAATCGGACCAATCTAATGTTATTCGGCCATTCTATTATTTCGAATAGAATGGCCGGCCATTGTATTTTTCAATCATTCTCCAAAGGACCATTCAAATGGAGGGGGCCACTCTAATAGAGGAAATACGGTATATAATTATTCGATTTCTTAACATCCACAAAATACTGCGGTAATCTTGCCTCCATGTTACTACTAAGTAATATTACCCGAAAGAAACGGAGCATTCAAAAAAGTTTTGTCATTGGGTATGAAAGTCATGCTCACTGAAAACTCGTAAGTTTTCTTTCCATTGCTGATCTCACTTGCTCCTGTATTGAGAGCCAAAAATGAATAACTTGCTTAAAATTAATAAAATTTTTAATAAATTCTCTAATAAAGACAAACAGTTTGCATAAATTAAATAATCAGCTTCATAGAGCGGTGCCTTCTCTGTTACTGTATAGCAAGCTTTTTGATTAGAAGCACAAACACAGAAAAGCGTAGAGTCAGTACATCGTACTCTTATAACGCTTATATTACGCGGATTGTAGCAAACCTAATAAAAATTTGGATTACCGTATTTACTCTAGTAATCCCCCAGTCTTTATTAATTCCCCAGTCTCTATTAATTCCCCACCCTGGGGATGGGTCAGTGCTGGGTATGGCTGCGGAGCCGGCTCCGGCGGAGCCGGAGCTAAGATTTTGAAAACCCCGGAGCCGGAGCTGGAGCCGGAGCCAAGAATTTCAAACCCCGGAGCCCGGAGCCGGAGCCAAGGTTTTCCAATTCCCCACGGCTCCGGCTATACACCCCTAAAGATGGGTTAGAGAAAAAGAAGTAAGCAAAGATGGTAGGCGAGAAAAGAAAAGGAAGGGAAAATTGAGACGGGTAAAAAAGATTTTCTTTCCTTTCCTTTGTAAAGTAGTTGTGGTTGAATGGATAGTGAGTTAGGTTCAGAGTTTTATCAAGTTATAGGTTCGAAAAATATTACAAAAAATTATTAAATAATTGTTTTTCTTTGGAAAATATAAATTATAATAAGCATTTTTTAAATAAATAAAGCTGGATAAATTTTTTAAATTGTTTAATTTTAGTCTCCTGTGAGTCAAATTTTTTAAAATTTTCGCCTGCGGCGCAAAAAACAAAAGATAATGAGAGGATAAATCCACCATCTCCTATTCGCCCAACTCCCCGACAACCCTAATCCCCTTAATCCAGCTTATTTCCCCGATATCGCCCTTAATGCACACGATAATCCACCCAAATCCCATTTAATCCATTGATACTCCTCTTAATCCTTTGATATCACTCGACATCCCCCTTTATCTACCTAGATCCCCCAATGCAAAATAATTAATTGATTTTCCAGCCGGAGCCCGGAGCCAACATGGAGCGGATCCGAAAATCGCCGGCTCCGGAGCCCGGAGCCGGAGCCAAGATTTTCAAACCCCGGAGCCCGGAGCCGGAGCCAACAAATGGCAAATACCCAGCACTGGGATGGGTTGAAACAATAATCCCCCTCTTTCTACCCCACTCTATTAATTCCCCAGTCTCTATTAATTCCCCACCCTAGAGATGGGTTGAAACAATAATCCCCCTGGGGAATTACCAGAGTAAATGCGGTAGATTTTTGTTCTTTTCTGTTATGTCGCGCAAAAGTCTGCAAGTTTTGTCCGCATTATTTTTTCTCAAAAAGGAGAAATAATGGTCAGACTTTCGTCCTTCCCCAATTTCATTCTATGCCCTATGGCATATTCAAACGAAAGACATTAATAAAGATGACTCTCGTTTAGATCAAAATTTTGAGGGACTTTTAGGCCACATAACAGAAAACACCCATGATTTTTGTTCGAGCCAAACAGGCCTTTTTGATATAATAATTTTTATCAATTATCAACAATTTCTATATCGACAAACAATTACCTCTGAAATTGTGCTTTGATTGCAATTATCACATCTATATGCGGGTACATTATTAATGCTCTGATTACTATTCAAAATATTTTTATCGTATAACACTAACGACTGCCCAGCTGCACAAGGAACGCAAGCTGAAATTTAAAGTTGATAAATATATTTCGAGCGTAACCTCAGTTAAGATTTACTAAATCTACTTACGCATCGTAGTTGTGGGCATAATCGTACTTGTACTAGTTGTTGTCGGTTCAACAGTCGTCGGTTGTGTGGTTGTTGTTACCTCTAAAGTTGTCGTTTGAATAGATTCTGTCGTTAATAAGGTTGTAGACTCTGCAGTTGTTGGCAATGTTGTGACGATAGTTGTGGATTGAATTGTTGAAGGAATTGTAATATTCGTGGTAGGCAAAGCTTCCGTAGTAGTTAAGGTACTTGTTGAAGCAAATTCAGTTGTTTCTGCCTGTGTTGGAGTTGTTGGAGCTTTTGTTGTCTCAACATTTTCTGTCGTTGTGTTAACAGCACTTTCTGTTGTCGTCTCTTCCTTTACAGTAGTCTCTAACATTTTAGTTGTGGTAACTACACTTTCAGTTGTAGTTAAGGTTGTCGAGCTTTCTGTAGTCAAAATTGTCTCTGTCGTCTCTTCATTTCTTGTAGTCTCTAACATTTTTGTTGTGGCAGGAAAAGCTGTTGTCGTTGTATTACCCAACGTTGTCATTAATTTTTCTGTAGTTCCAATAAACATTGTGGTTGTTAAAAGCTCCGAAGGAGTTGTAAATTCTAAATCTTCCCAATAGTCAATAACGTCAGGATCGCAATCACAAGGAGCCCCATTCAAGCAATTTGTAAGTAATCCATAAATAGGTTTATTGAGAAATAAAGAGAGAAAGGCAATAAAATAAAAAATTTGTGTAAACAAAAGCATTTTTGCTTTGCTAAATTAAAAAATTTTTTTGCTTGAAAAAAATTAAATGACACAAGCAATGAAAAAATTCAAAAAGCTTCAAAATAAAGAGTAAAAATTAAGGAATAATGTCTATTCAATTTTAAAATAGTTGTAATAAGATTTCTAATGCTGTTTACGTACTCTAATTATCATAAATTGGGTTCGGAGGGTAGACTAGGGAATAATCAGGGATTTGAAGAATATCATAGGAGAATATCAATTTTGAAGGCCAAGAAGTAATATGTATTTCTTTCTTTTTAGCAAAGCATGTGTTAATTTTGAGAAGATTGGAAGCAGTGATAGAAAAGTTTCAAAATTTCTCCGGAATCGGTTCCAGTTCTGGAAATGCTTTTTAGATTTCTTCGGTTCCAGTTTCGGAACTGGAACCTTTCAATCACTGGTTGGAAGGTCATTGAAGGACCTTCCAACCTTCAAGCTTAGTGTAATTTGAAAGGAGCTCGGCGATCGAGATATATAGCCCCTGAATATTAAAAAATCATAGCAAATACATATGTAATATCTCATTCGAGAGCTCCTCAAGCTTAATCAAATGCCACCAAATCAGCATCAATTGAATATTCAATTTATGATAATTTAAAAATTGCATTTTACATTAAAGAATAAGATTAAATTCACAATTTTAAAATTTTAAATTAAATAAATAAAATTTTTTCAATGAAATAAAATTTTATTTTGCATTTATTTACATTTTAACAGGTGTTTTAATCAATGAAAAAATTTTTAAATTTTATTATAAATGATTTTTTAATTTAAATTTATGTACCATGAAAAACTCTTCTAAAAAAGAGATTCCAGAAACAAGAGTTGAGTGGAATCATGCTGGGTCCACTCTGTCAAATATACCTAGGCACAGTTAAACCATTATAATCCCTAAGGATAGCTTGTGGGTTGGCTAGACCCAAGCTTAACCTTTACCACTGAGCCACACCGGTGTGCTCTTCCTTATAGGCACATATATACACGAAGACTGACTAACTGGGAAATGATCTATCGGTGAAACAATAAACAATATATAAACATAAGCATGTGAATGGGAGGTGACACAGGAAATAAAGATAAATAATAATTAAAGTGTAATGGTTGGGAAAATCCATTAACACATAATGCTCGCCCAAAAGATCACCTTTGCTTAGGCAATCAACGGATATACCTTACACAAGCTTAAAAACCGCAACGCGAAGCCAAACTTTAACGTAATTAACGGCGATACGCTTGCTTCATTTAAGAAATTTGGCTAGACAAATTTAAAATAAAAAAATTAAGAAAATCATAAATTTAAATTAAGAAGGAAGTTTTTTGAAAGTTTTTAAAAAAAATCAAAAATTATAAGGGATTTGTATCAATTCTGTAGTTGTTCCAAAATGAGCAAATTAGTTCTGTAATATACCGTATATGCTCTATTAATTACCCTCTCTCGAATTACCCACGCTCTATTAATTACCCCCTTCAGCGAGAGGTTGAAACAATAATTACCCAGGGTAATTATTAGAGCATATACGGTACTTGCTCACAACGATTTTTAAACAAAATTTACGTTTTTCTACCAATTTCTCGAATTCTCTGTTGTATTATTTATGTAACGTCGCGTGAGAATTCCAACGTTAATGGAGGGTCACATAAAGGTGAGATCCTTCAGTAAGAGTTTAGCAAAAGTTTAGCCACCGGGCAGGATTCAGGGCAGGATTCGAATCTGCAACCTCCTCGTAGTTTTGCTAGGCGCTTTCGCTCACCACATATAGGAGCTCTACCACTGAGCTCCCGGATGATCGACTTTCTCTTTTCCCTGTTTAGATCGTTTAACACCCGCCTAAGCTGTTTAAATCCTCTGAATGAACGATCCTTACACTTAGTTATTTCAATAACAATTTTTTAAAATGTTGATTTGCTGCGTTTTGTTGTTTCTGAATGAACATATCGTTGTTTTGTTTTCCATTTGATACTATAAAAACACCCAAAACATTACCAAACTTGCCCTCTACAAAAAAAACAACACAAACTTTACTACAAATTTTCTTCCTTTTTTATCGTCCCCGCTTGTTCAACAATTTCTTTGCTTCTTCTAAAATGTAAGTTTTTAATTGCTTTGCCTTCCCAAAAAATTTTTTTCAGTTCAATAATGGCCAATTCAAGGATTTTATTTTCAATAATTGCCTTCTTTCTCTTCATTAATACTTCAATATATGCCAAATCAATTGCTGTGTTGGACGAAGAAGACCAAGACGAATTTCTTGATCCTATTGTTGAAAAGAGAAGATTGTCAAACATAATAGAAGAAATGGCAGGCGACGATAAACGCATAATATCTACAAATTGGGCAATGCTCTTCATCGTCATCGGTGTACCGATTGGTGTGATTCTTCTTATTGTTCTAACAATTGTGAGTTTGAAAGGGAGTGGGGCATATACAGTATGCTTGGGCTGCTAGAGACTCTTAGTTTAGAGTAGAGTTCAGCGTGATCGGGATCTCAGTCGAGATCGGGCGGGGTTATCCCGGGTTTTTCGAATCCCGATTTTTCAGATCCCAAGACCGATTCGGGATCTCTGTTCCGAATCCCGATACCGACTTTGGCCAATCTTGGGTCGGGATCGGTATCACCATTCCAAAATCCCGATCCCGATTTTTTCCCTAAATCCCGATACCAGTGAACTCTAGTTTGAAGTCTTAGCTGAAAATTTTCTTGCTTAGGATAGGGAAGAGTCAGGATTGAGGGAAAATCAAAACTGGGTGTAATCTGGTCGGATCTTCAAAAATTTGGCTGTACTTTAGTATAGGTCCACCGAGATCGGAACTCAGTCTATATACCATTTGATTCGTCTCGCCGAGCTGAGTTCAAATATGCAAGAATTTTCTGCCGGAGACGAAAACTCGCAGAGATACAGGCCCCCGAAAATTGAAAAACCATAGGGGGGACCAAGCACTTATTTGGGGTGAAAAATTCGAATATGAAATGATAGCTCATTCGAAAGAGCTCCTCGAGCTGAGTCGAATGACACCAAAATCAACAAAATCAGACATGATTGGACAAAGTTATGATCTTTTCTTTTAGCTCCTTACCTATGGCATCTGTGGAGATTTTTGCTGCTACGGAGGCCCCAAATACGTCCAGAGCAAGGGAGATAGGAATAGGTTTATGTTACGAGCCCAGACCCAGCGCCCGTAGACTCCCCGCGAGGCGCGTGGCGCAAAACCCCGCGCGAAGCGCGGGGTTTTGCACAAGCGCCTCGCCGACGCTCCAAAGGTTTAGGTTTTTTTGTTTTTTGTATCATAACTTTGTCTAATCTTGTTCAATCACGGTGATTTTGGTGACTTTTGACTCAGCTCGTCGAGCCCTTTCGAATGAGCTATTATTTGTATATTCGAATTTTTTGACCCCTAAAATTTTCAAATTTCGGGGGTCTGAAACTCGACCTTATGAATTCGGATCGCGGTGATTTTGGTGTCATTCGACTCAGCTCGATGAGCTCTTTCGAATGAGGTATAATTTACATGTTCGAATTTTTCACCCCCAAAAAGTGCTTGGTCCCTCCTATGGTTTTTCGATTTTCAGGGGTCTGTATCTCTGCGAGTTTTCGTCTCCGGCAGAAAATTCTTGCATATTTGAACTCAGCTCGGTGAGACGAATCGAATGGTATATAGACTGAGTTCCGATCTCGGTGGACCTATACTAAAGCGACCCCAAAAATTTTCTTTGGGTAGTCGACCCAAATCATCAACCAACCCAACCTTTAACTAATTTTCATAAAATTTAAAGGGTTTGCCCATTTATTGCTATCAAAGTTGGGAACAATCAAAAAAGAATGAAGAGAAGCGACGTCGTGAAAAGGAAAAAAGCATTAGCAATAAGTTGGCAAAAAAGAGAAAGGAAGAGGAAATAAAGAAATTGGAAGCACAGTTTATGGATTCAGGTAGAGTGATAATACCTCTATTTAAGAGACACAAATTTTTGAGATACAAAGATACAGTCTTTATAAGAGACAAATTTTTAGTCTAAAATTTCAGTCCTAGGAATTGGCAGGAAGTATCTCATAATGAGGGCAAACTTGTGTCGTTCCGTACCCCCCCCCCCCCAATATTTTTATTATGCTCAGACATTATACACTGCGGTGCATATGTTTATGCACACTAGTTTTTTGTTCTTAATTTTATGCAATCTTATTCAAAAAATACGTTCTATATATCAATCGAAAGCTCTATTTGTATCTCAGTTGACATGTTTCTGCATTTTCCATGAAAATGAAAATTGGCCGAGATAATCCGAATCTACCGGATATACCAAATCCCATATCCTCGGAAAAATTTTTCGGAAAAAATTTAACAAACCCATTTCATAAAGCATATTTTTGTGAGTATTTGCCAAAAAACTGCTTAGAAATATCTTTTTCCGGAACGGAGATATGATTTTTTGAAAATCGAAAAAAAGCGATTTTTTGACGAAAAATGGCAAAAATATTGTATTTTTTCGATTTTCAAAAATTCATAACTCGGTCGAATCTCGACCGATTTGGATGATTTTTTTGTATTATATGTAGAATCTAGAGGAGAATCACATATATTTTTTACAGACCTCAAAAAAATTTCTTCGAAAAGTTGAAAATGTAGTACCTGTTAGACCGGTCGAAAAGTTTTCGAAAATGTCAGAATTTCGAAAAATGAAGAAACATGTCAACTGAGATACAAATAGAGCTTTCGATTGCCATATAGAACATATTTTTTGAATAAGTGTGCATAAACTTATGAACAAAAAACTAGTGTGCATAAACATATGCACCGCAGTGTATTATCTTTCTCAATATTTAATCAAAAAACTTTTTCATAATGAGGGAAAACTTTTGTCCTTCCCTTCTCGCCCCATAATTTTTTTAAACGCTCAAAATGGTCAGAAAAATTTTTTTCAAAAAATTTTTCCTCGAAATTTCCTCAAAAAATTTTTTTCAGCACTATTTGGAAGCGGTGCACCATTTCTTAAATTGGATGGAGCTGAAGAATTACCAGATTCATTTGTTAGCGAACAGTCTACAACGGAAAGAGTCGAACTCGAAAGAGTCAGAAAAGCAATACCTGTCGATAAAAGAATTGACGATATGGAAGAAGTACCTTCACTAGATGGATTAAAAAGACCTAATAGAGGGGCGATGAGGGAATAAAAAGAAATTAAAATATATTTGTTTTGAATTGTAGTTTTGTTATTGTGTCTATTTTTGTTAATATGTGGAATTAACTAAATATCTCTGTAGATAATTGTAATCTTTTGCAAAATTTGTGTACTATATTTTAAAATAAGTAGTAGATAAAAAATTAAAATTATAAGCTTTAACTTTTGTCTAGTTAGTGGAACTAAAATAATAAAAGCCATGGACATGAGGGCTTGTTCATGTAGGCTTATTCGTCATTGAAGATAATTACTTTATTCGTTGTGGTATACATTAGCCTAAGATTAGGTTGATGTTTTCGAATTTGGCCGACGTTATAGTCAGTTTTTAGGGGCCAACTAGTCTTTTTGGCCAAAATTAACCCTACTTAGATTCTATCCGTCCTAAGCATAATAGGTAGTTGAATTGAATTAAGATTGCAGTTTTTTACCAATTCATCAAAGTAATGTCAAAGTATTTCTGAAATTGAAAGAGTGCTTTCACAAGATTCAATTAGATTAATTTATTCAATTACTTCAAAATTTGGAAGAAAACGTTTATCCTGGCAAATAAATTAATTAAAAAGAAAAACATATTAAAATTGAACTTTTGCCTTTAAATATGAAAACAACTAATAAAGTACATAAACAAGTTTTTGCTATAATATTTTGATTTTTGCCTTTTTCTAAATTTAGATTTAAGTGTAAGGCTCTACCACTCAACCAGTTTTTCTCGTTTTTTCTTTCAAAATACCTTTGTCTCGCCAATAAAAAAACAAAAACAGCTTAGTAAAACAATTTGCATACTAATTCGCACAATATTGTACAAACGATAATTTTTACTCAAATCCATAAATTAAAATACACCCAGCAGAGATTAGATATATTTAAGGTAGATTATTCAATGTAGATTTACCTATATCAATTCTTTAATCAGTTTATTTTAGCGGGAACTACTCTAACGATACACATTTTTTAAGCTATAAGGACCTAATCTATTATAGTTTGGACCAAATTTAATTTTTTAAGTTTTTATTCTAAACTAGTTTCATAATGAGGCTGGTTTCTCCTATACTTTGTAGATTTATAATACCTATTTTGTTGTGGCTGGTTCCATCGGGGAAGACAGCCTGTGATCCATGTGCGGATAATCAGTCAACAATGATATACGACAAAAATTTTCTTGATAGTAATCAAAGTATTAATGATGAGCCGGCAAGTAGATGTGATAATTGTGATCAAAATACCATATCAAAGGTTATTAATTTTTATATATTTGGGCCCATATAAAAGGTTAACAATTTTTGTATAGTTGAGCCTATATCACTTTTGCATTTTTGGATGGCTGATATTTCAGGGCTTAAACTTCGTTCAAAATTATCAAATTTCGGAACCTTTATAATTTTTTGGTTCTATTACATAAAACCTTTGTAAACACAAGCTAGTAAATTGTTAGTTTCCTGCCTTTATAGTGTTATGTTTTTTTATCTACAAGTAATTAAAATCTTTACTAGTAAAGACTTAAAAATCTGGGTAAAGTCCGTGATTTTTAGCAAAATAAAATTTTAATAATAAGCCTGAAGATATAGAAACGTGTCATGAATCTAGCTAATTTTTAAAATTATTATACCCATTAGATCTGCTACAATCCTCGTGAAATAAGCGTTGTAAGAGTACGTTGTACTGACTCAAAACTTTTCTGTGCTTGTGCCTCTAATCAAAAAGGATGTTACGTGGTCACACAGGATGCTCCACTCTATGAGGCCGATTATTTAATTTATGCAAACTGTTTGTTCTTATTCGAGAATTTATTAAAAATACTATTAATTTTAAGCAAGTTATTCATTTTTGGCTCTCAATACAGGAGCAAGTGAGATCAGCAATGGAAAGAAAACATACGAGTTTTCACCAAGCATGAATTTTATACCTAATGGCAAAACTTTTTTGAATGCTCCGTTTCTTTCGGGTAGCTAGGAATTTAAAATTTTTGAGCCTAAAATTGGATGAACCTCCTTGCCGGGGCGCCTTCTTGCCTTATTTAGAAGAATCATTCTTCAATTTAACTTAAATTTATTACACTAAATAAGATCTTTGCCTGGGTAATATTCCATAATTTTCCAATCCTAATAATGGCAAGATGCCCTTCGTAAAGATGCCCTTCGTAAAATCCAATTTTGTTAAATTAATAAAATCCCTTTAAAATTTAATTTGGCTAAACTCAGTTTCCTCAATTTAGTTTCATGTTCTGGATGTGATGTTTTAAGCGATCCATCAAATAATTCGACATATTCTTGCTGATATGCTTAAATAAAATAATTGTTGCAAATTTTATCAATAAAAATGTTATTATATAATTATTGTTTATTTATTTGTTGTCAAAATAATAATCCTGAGTCATATCCATCAGCGGATATACTCGCAAAATGCTCAACTTGACAAAAATTTTCAAAATTAGAATTGTTTCATATTTCCTGAGGATTATATTAAAAACGGGTGGTTTTGATATCCATTACTGATATCAAAAGATTTATTTGGATCTTTGGATAAATATTAAACTCTAGTTGTTCTATATTTAATTGATGAAACAAGGGTTGATGAAATTTAATTTATGAAATTTATTTTATTTTTTTATTATTCGCATTATGCTTTTTAAGCTTAAAAAATATATGCTAGCTCATTTAGATTAAGACATTAAGTCGATTTATATTAAATAAGCTACAGAATTTTATAGATTAATCACTAAGTAAAAGTGCAAATAAATAAAGTGTAAAGATATGACATTCATTTATTATTTTCACTTAGAGGAAATGAAAATTTGCACTTTTCGTCAATTGCCAAAGTAAATATGATTATTAAATAATTTTTTCATCTACGTCCATAGATATAAATAAAGTTTAAAAATGAGACATACATACCTATTTGTTTATGAGACTTCAACAATAATTTAATTATTTTAAATTCTAACCAAAATTTGAAAAACTTTTATTTTTATGAATATTTTTATTATTGTAAAGCATATAGCTATTTATTTCCCAAGGCTGTGCAGTAGACGGCGTGGTGTAATGGCTAACACATCAATCCGGTCTACTTAAGATGCTGGTTCGCTCCCAGCCGCCGAATAACCTTTTGCACTAGCTAAAGGAGATAAATAGCTATAGCCCAGCTGCTTTACTATAAATATAACAAAATTCTAGATGATTAAATTTATTATCATAATTGTATTATATTTAATTATTCTGTTGAATAGTCAAAGTAAAGGAGAAAAAATTAAAGTAGATTTGAAAATAAAGGATGATTGGAAAGAAAAAAGAGAATTTATTTATTTAAAAAATGTTAAAATTCAGGAGCGTTTTGTATTAAACTTTATTAAAAAGCATAATAATAAATTTGGAAGTAGCCTAAAATTTAACATAAATGAATTTTTGCGTCCAATTGAATTTAACATTGAAAGAAATATTTTTAATGCTGAAATAATTGATATATCAAAATATATTCCATCTGCTCAATTAAAAAACAAAGTTTTAATTGAAATTATCAATAATGAAATTATTCAAAAAATACTTCCTGGATTTGAAAAACGGGTATTTTATTTTAAATATTACTTAGGTTGCCAACCAAGTTTTAAGCTCGCCTTTAACTGTAGGTTTGAAAATTTTTATTCAATTTGCAGATCTACAATTGATCTTATTTTTTGGGAATATATTCTCAATATAACTCGAAAAAAATTCTCATGAGCCTGATGTTTTGCCTAAAAATAGGACACTCTTAGAAGAAGAAAAAAATATGAATTTTTGAGCCCCACACATGTGGGACTATAACGAGAGTTGAGCGGTATCGTGATTCCGATCTACAATTGAATGATGATACTTATCCTCCACTCAAAACTTAGCTGACAACCTAATATCCATTTAAACTTCATATATAATCTACATTATTTAACCTTGATATAAATAGAAGTAATTTATCATAAATTTAAGATACTTCAAAATAATAATTTTATTGAGAAAAAGAATTATTATAAAACTTCTATATTAAATGAAAGCTTGGAATATAAAAATAATTTTAACTTGATAGAAGAAAATATAGAGTTTTATAAAGACAAAATTTTATCAAGTTATTGGTCACAAATTAATTTAATTGGATATAAAATTGAATTGTTAGAGAAACAAAAAGTTGAATATCCGAATGAATTGAAAAGCAGGATTATTTCCATTAGCAAAATAATAAGTAAAATTAAGATTTATTTAAGTTTACGCCTCAATTGCGTAATAATCGGTTTATTTTTAATTATTATAGGTGAAATTATTGAAGGAAGTAAACGAACTTGCTTCAATTGCGGAATCAAAAAATGCAATAATTGGCACAAATACCTAAAAGAACATTATTTGTGCCGAGCCTGTGGCAATTATAAACGAAATAATAGAGGACTTAGACCAAAAAAATTATTTTTTAAAACGAAAAAGGTTTAGTCTAATCATTATTTGAAAGGTTTACAAAATTATATACGGAAACTATTGTAAACTTTTATCCTCGCCAGACCATTTGCACTAAACAGACCTGCGCCGACGGTCATGTATAATATACAGTATCCAAAAATATTACCTGATTTATGATATATGCGATTTTTAAAAGTAATTTCCCAACCTGATGGGAAAATATGAACGAAAAACCGTGGGAGCTTGAGAAAAGATAGGAAATGACATTACTAGTATGTTAAAGATAAATTATCAAAATATAATCGTTAATGATATAGAAACAGCAGCTAATTGAAGCGTGCTGGCGAGGGTCTTTCCATTTGGGGTATTTAGTAAGACTTAAGTCCGTGATACCTTTCACCTTAATCAGTAAATCTCTGAGGGTTGATCAGGTCCTCAGGCTTGCCGAAGCATGATGTTACAGCTAAAAAGTTGTTAAAGCGCCTTTATTCACATAACATTACATTATGCTGAAATAATATAAGTGTTAGGCTTACTCTCTCTAATGTGAAGATTGTAAATCGTTATATAATGAACATTAATGGCCGGATAAATAATGAAACAATACAAATGTTTAATGGGAAAGTAACAATAGCGGAAGTGTGAAACAAAGTGCCCTTTAGTCTTTCAGGCTAGATCACACCATAAAATATTAATACGTTAAGTTAATTCGGTACTTTCCTGTTATCGGCCCTCCATTTTTTTTACTTATTTCTCAGCCTACTTCTGTACAGAATGGTCAGATTTTTTCTTTCATAAATTCACTCCGTTCCCCAGTGGCAACAAAGAAAAGATTATTTTTTGCTTAATTTTTCATAAACTATTTTCTCCAACTATCTAGTAACTATTTCTCCAACTATGGAGAGATGTTGTTCCAACCGAAGTTGTTCCCCCATTGTTACAATAGAACAACTTCCCACATTCACAGGAAAACTTTCTACGTCATTGGGATATTAACTTCCCCTTTGACAACTTATGTTTTGTCTTTTTTGAACTTGAATTTTATAAAAATTAATCTGTTCTTGCAAAAAATTAGCTTTTCTTTCTTGCCACCGTGAAACGGAGTGAATTTGAGAAAAGAAAGAAAATCTGACCATTCTGTACAGAAGTAGGTGAGTAATAAGGAAGAAAAAATGGAGGGCCGATAACAGGAAAGTACCGTTAATTCTGTTCTAGCGAATTACAAATGATCGCAGCTGTTGTATTTGCGGAAATACAAAAACATCAATTTGGTACCATCATTCAAAGCATGGACAATATTTATGTCGAAATTGTTATAATAAAAGACAACATAACACAATGAAGCAGCATAAAAAGATTTGAAGGAAAAGAATAATTTGAAACAATAAATTAAGATTGTTTACTATTACACTTTCCGTTTTATTATAATGTCAAGGGTAGAGGCGTGCGAGATACTTGGTATTGGTCTTGATTCCAAGACTTTTCTTCGGGTTTTGGTCATGGTCTTGGGGTAAAGTCTTGGTCTCGGTCTTGACTTTTTGGGGCTTTGTAAATACCCCCTAAAACCCGGTGAAATATGTAGAAGGGAAAATCGAAAGATGGTAGGCGTGAAAAGAAAAAGAAAATAAAGTTGAGACGGGTAAAAAGATGCTCTTTACTTATTTTTAAAATGCCGTGTGGCTGGCTGACTTATGCTCATCCATATGACTAATGAAAAAGGTTCGAATCATAAAATGAGTAAATAATTGTTTTTCTTTGGAAAAGCAACTTGGTCATGAGCTTGGAAAATTTCCGGCTCGCACGCCTTTTTTAAAGCGATACAAACTATATTGAGTAATTTTATAAATTTGATAAGTAATATATCTATAATAAATATGGTGATTACTTCGGACTGGAAACTGCTAAGGTTTCAATTAAGAAAAGCGACTGTTTGTAAATTTTTCTCCCATTTTTAAATCAAAGAAAAAGCTCGTCTACTATAACAAAATTATTAATTTTCTTTTAAGTAAATATATTTCCTTTAAGTAAAAAATATAATACCTATTTTATATTAATTCATAAAATATCCATTTATTAAAATTGATAATGATTTTTTAATAAATATTTTTAAAATGTTGTTGAAAAAATATGGGCTGATTATATGTAACATAATGTATCTAAAGATAAATGATTCTGGTTGAAACAGAACTATCAGTGACTGTCCCAGATTCTGATCTTTATGAATTTTTGTATTTATAAATTTTATAATAAATAATTTATAAGTTTGGTAAGCTAATAATTAATATTAGTTTACCGAAGATATCTAATTCCTCTATTAAATTATGGATTTTCAATATTTAATTTATTAATTTTTAACTTCCGTGAATATTTAAAAAAGCACTTTACTTTTAACAATTAAAATATTAAACAAATATCTGTCTAAATTTCAATTATCATTTTTGAGACAGAATTAAAAAATTTTTAATTAAAAAATTTAGCTGACTAAATAAAAGGGCAGACTTTTATTGAAAAAAATGAAAATTCTTTTATTAATTAGTCTAAAGTACTTTGATGTGTCCCTTGAAATTTTAACCTTAAACTTCCGATTAAGCAACTTCGAGAAAGAGTGGCAAGTTAAACTTTATTGTAAAATTTTTTAACTTTTAAAGGCTGCTGAGTAAATTAAGTATTTATACTTTATTCAAAATTTGACTTATAAAAAGCAGTCAGTCAAAATTAATATTAAACACAACTCGAATTAATTTTAAAAATCTAATTAAAATGAATTCTCTCTTATTAATAGCATTTTTATCCCTCTCATTTTGTGTCCCAATAAAGGCTGCTCCTCCATATGGACAATTATCTGTGAAAGGTTTTAATTTAGGGATGTTATTCGTACTTATTTTGTAAGCACGTACCCACTAATGGAATTTTCGTTATAAAATTAAATATATTTTTAAGATTTCCAAAATTTTCTCATTTATGCGAGAAATTAGGCGAAAATAATTTTTTAATTGTATTTTTGTAGCATACCTAAATTTGGAAAAATTTTGGAAAAAATTTCAACTCTTTCTGGTTAAATTGACATTTCTCGATAACATCCCTGTTTTATAATTTTTAATTAATCAAGCTTTAAATAAATAAAATTTCTTCAGGAACTCAATTAGTGGGCAGTAATGGACAACCAGTTCAACTTGTTGGAATGTCACTTTTCTGGTCGAGTTGTGGTGAAGGAGAAGGGTTTTATAACAGAACAACAGTAAATAGTCTTAAATGCTCTTGGAATTCAAATGTTGTTAGAGCTGCAATGGGTGTAGAGTATTCAGGGTGCGGACGACCAGGTTATTTGGATGCCCCAAATGTTGAGCAGGCAAAGGTTGAAGCCGTTGTTAAGGCCGCTATAGAGTTGGATTTGTATGTTATTCTCGACTTTCACGACCATAATGCTCAATCACATGTGCAACAAGCTGTAAGCGGATAAAATATCATTTAATATACGAGACTAATTAGATATGCTATCATTGAACAGTTCAAATTCAGATCCAATTCTTCACTTATTTTGCTCAAAACTACGGATCTAAATACCCTAACATAATTTATGAGACTTTCAATGAGCCACTACAAGTAGACTGGAGTGGTGTAAAGTCATATCATGAGCAAGTTGTTGCTGAAATTAGAAAATATGACAAGAAGAATGTCATCGTTCTCGGTACAACAACTTGGTCTCAAGATGTTGATACTGCTGCTAACAATCCTGTAAGCGGCACAAACCTTTGCTACTCCTTACACTTCTACGCGGCAACTCATAAACAAAACTTAAGAGACAAGGCTCAGGCTGCAATGAATAAAGTCTGATATATTATCGAGCAAGAGTTGTAATTTATATCACTTAAGGGAGCTTGTATCTTTGTAACTGAATATGGAACCGTTGATGCAAGTGGAGGTGGTGGAGTGGATGAAGGCTCGACAAAAGAATGGTATAACTTCTTGGATAGTAAGAACATTTCTAACCTCAACTGGGCTATCTCAAACAAGGCGGAAGGTGCTTCAGCACTCACATCTGGAACGAGTGCTTCTCAAGTTGGCAATGATGACCGATTGACTGCCTCCGGTACTATAGTGAAGAAGTATATTAAATCAAAGAATACTGGTTACTATTTACTTAATATATAATAATATAACTAAACATTAATTAAGGAGTCAGTTGCAGTGGTGCATCATCAAGCAGTGGTTCAGGAAGTAACTCCTCAGGAAATAAACCGAGCAACTCTGAAAGCAGCACTGCCAAGACATCAAGCAATTCAGGAAATAAAAGCGGTAGTTCTAACACAGGGAGTAATGCAAATAACTCAGGAAGTAAATCGGGCAACTCCGGGAGTAATACAGGTAACTAATGATCAAAATTGTTAGGCATCAATAGTACAGCAAATTCAGGAAATACTGGCAGCAATTCCGGAACCAACTCAGGAAATACGGGTACCAGTACAGGCAGTAGTTCTGTTACAGCTTCTGTGCAAGTTCCCGATAAATGGGATAATGGTGCAAGATTCCAGTTAGTATTTAAAAACAATGCAAGTACAAAAAAGTGTGCAGTGAAATTTTCATTGACTTTTGCCTCTGGAGTAAGATTAATTTACATTGAAATCTAAATGAAACAATATTTGATCCAATTATTATAGCAACAAATTACTGGCATTTGGAACGTTCAAAATGTAACAGGAAATAGTTTTGTTCTTCCAGACTACGTTACAATTGAGGCAGGGAAACAATATACAGATGCAGGAATGAATATAAATGGGCCAGCAACACCTCCACAAATTAAAGTGCTCGGCGATGGAAAATGTGTTTTTTGAAATTAGAATGAGATGATTGTTGAACTATTTTAATCTTGTGATTGTTTAAATTGGTAAAATACATTTCTGTATAATTTGCTTCAGATAATTTTGTTATTTTTAAATATACAATAAAAATTAAAAATTTATATCATTAAAAAAGGTACATAGAAAAGGCGATTTGTTACAATATTTTTATATTCGGATATCATAATAGTCACAATCAGCAATGAATTGTGTAACCATCTTAATGGAGTCTTAATTAAGACTTAAATCTCATCAAAAAATCATTGTACGCATTATCAAAATTTTAAAAGACCACATTTTTTAGAGCTAACATATATCACAGATGACGAGTTTATATCTGTAATAAACCCAATCAATTCAAGAATTGTGATAACAACAAAAAGAAATTTCTCAGTATAATAAATAATAGCCTTATGCAGTAATTTTTACCACAAGATTTTTTGATGTATTGTTATTTGTTTTCAACCCCCTTTCGAAAAAATGTTTTTTATGAATAAATAAAACGAGCGGTTAGGCCCCGCTTCGCGGGGCCTAACCCCTCTTTCTCATATTTAGGTTTCTAACTTTTTTGCCCGTGGCGACCCTTTAACACTTTTAGGCCGTGACGACCCTTTAATACTTATTGGCCGTGACGACCCTTTTATACTTTTTTGGCCGTAACGACTCTTTTATACTTTTTGCCCGTGACGAACCTTTAATACTTTTAGGCCGTGACGACCCTTTAAAACTTTTTGGCCGTGGCGACCCTTTAATACTTTTTGGCCGTAACGACCCTTTTATACTTTTTGGCCGTGGCGACCCTTTAATACTTTTTGGCCGTGACGACCCTTTAATACTTTTTGGCCGTAACGACCCTTTTATACTTTTTGGCCGTGGCGACCCTTTAATACTTTTTGGCCGTGACGACCCTTTAATACTTTTTGCCCGTGACGACCCTTTAATACTTTTTGCCCGTGTCGGCCCTTTAATACATTTTGCCTGTGACGAACCTTTAATACTTTTAGGCCGTGACGACCCTTAATACTTTTTGCCCGTGACGACCCTTTAATACTTTTTGCCCGTGACGACCCTTTAATACATTTTGCCCGTGTCGACCCTTTTATACTTTTTGCCCGTGACGATCCTTTAATACTTTTTGCCCGTGTCGGCCCTTTAATACATTTTGCCTGTGACGAACCTTTAATACTTTTAGGCCGTGACGACCCTTTAATACATTTTGCCCGTGTCGACCTTTTATACTTTTTGCCCGTGACGATCCTTTAATACTTTTTGCCCGTGTCGGCCCTTTAATACATTTTGCCTGTGACGAACCTTTAATACTTTTAGGCCGTGACGACCCTTAATACTTTTTGCCCGTGACGACCCTTTAATACTTTTTGCCCGTGATGACCCTTTAACACATTTTGGCCGTGACGACCCTTTAATACTTTTTAGCCGTAACGATCCTTTAATCGTTTTTAAACGATACGATCCTTTGTCCGTTTTTAGCTCGGTGATCTTATGTTACGTCCAATTTATTTCACCTCTTATTATTATTTTACTCTAGCAATAAGGCAAAAGTACGTTTCTCTGTGTAAGAGAACAGAAAAATACTCTGACAGCAGCCGACCGTGTCCGGTTAACTCATCTACTCGTTAACTCATCTACACGGCCAAAAACGTTCAACTCATCTAAACGGCTAAAATTCCTTAACTCATCTACACGGCCAAAAAGGGATCAACTCATCTAATCGTTAACTCATCTATTCGTTAACTCATCTACACGGCCAAAAAGGGTCAACTCATCCAATCGTTAACTCATCTAATCCTTAACTCATCTACACGGCCAAAAACTTTCATCTCATCCTTTGGAACGAGACTGTTGAGTACCAGTCGTTTGAGTCTCTCGCCGTCTGAGTCTCTGGCCGTTTGAGTCTCCGGCCGTTTGAGTCTCTGGTAAGTAGGGTCCATGGCCAGTTGAGTCCATGACCAGTTGAGTCCATGGCCAGTTGAGTCCATGACCAGTTGAGTCCATGGCCAGTTGAGTCCATGACCAGTTGAGTCCATGACCAGTTGAGTCCATGGCCAGTTGAGTCCATGACCAGTTGAGTCCATGGCCAGTTGAGTCTCTAGCCGGTTAAGTCCCTGGTCAGTTGAGTCCATGGCCAGTTGAGTCCATGACCAGTTGAGTCCATGGCCAGTTGAGTCTCTAGCCGGTTAAGTCCCTGGTCAGTTGAGTCCCGGCCGTTTGAGTGGTTGATTACCGCCGGTTGAGTCTTGGGCCGGTTGAGACTCAACTGACCAGGGACTCAACCGGCTAGGGACTCAACCGGCCGATATTTCAAGGATTGGATGAGTTGACCCTTTTTGGCCGTGTAGATGAGTTAACGAATAGATGAGTTAACGATTAGATGAGTTGACCCTTTTTGGCCGTGTAGATGAGTTAACGAATAGATGAGTTAACGATTAGATGAGTTGTATAGGAGCCCAGCCGACTGGTTTTTCTCTTCTTCTCTTCTATTAACTCTGTCTTTTCTTTTTCTATACTTTTCAACACAAAAATTTTCGTTTCGATAAAAATTCAACTTTCACGATTAAAAAATGCAAAGTGAAAACTTTCCAAATAATATAATAGATTTAAAAAAATAGAAATTTTAAATTTTCAATCACATCCAAGATTGTTTTAACATTTCAAAATGTAATTCTTGTTCTTTTGATGCAGCAACAATTTGTTGTAAATTAATTACTGTTTGTTTTTCAACGTTTATTTTATTAGAAGAGCGTCCACATTTTATAAAATTAATTATTGTTGTAATTATTTTATTTAAATTTTTGTTTAAAACTGGGTGGAAACTTGAAAAAAAGAAATTTTGTTATCAAATTAATAAAATGAGTAGCATTTTTCAATTAACTTCCAATTTCAAAATTTTTAGATACCTAAGTAGTCTTACAATGTCAAAAGTTAGGGTCGGTTTGAACACTCCTCTGATGTTGGAAGAATACAAAATTATGCATTAAAAAATTTTGTGGTGATCAATGATTCGATATTTAGGGTCATGCTATTTTAAGATGAGATTTTTAGTCAGCGATATTTAGGTTGAGTCCATATTTAGGGGGTGAACTCATAAGCCAGTATTAAAGGCGAAAATTTAGAAAATATTTGAAGGGCTTAATATCAGCTATTGGACAAGAAGGGTTTAAATTTTGGACTCGAGTAAGGGTCAATAAATGTTGACTCACGTGACTACAGTTATTTCAATGCCAAGTTTACAGGTTGCAAGTATTACATAAGCAAAACTAATAATATTGTCCATAATTTCATTTGTTATGTTAAAATAAGTTATTGTTACGAGTACAACACTAGTACACAAAATATTAACAAAATGAAAGAAAAAAGAAGGTGCCAATTGCTTTCCTGTATAAACATTTTCTAATTGTCGATAACGCTCATTTAAAGTGTAATTATTTTTTGGGTTAGATTTGTTATTCAAATATTTTTTATACATTTTTTTATTGAAGGCTGTCAATCGAGAAAATGCCTAGTAAATTTTTTCAAATTTAAATTTAAATAAGAAACATACAATTAATTCTAATAAACTTAATAACAGTGAAGCATTCATCATAAAAATGCTAAATAAATTCGATATATTGGCATTTGTAGAATTTGTAGGTATTAATCTATCAAGTATTGTCAAAAAGAACTGAAAACTAAATAATGTTAACTTTTTATTTGATTGTACTCCACCCTCAAAAATTCTGTGGAATTAATGTAAACTCCCTTATCACCCCTTTGTCTTGCCCGAGGTTTTATAATTTAGACGAGATAGTACACAAAGTTTATCGTACGATGAAATAATAAGGTATATGGGAGTAGTAAGATAAGGATGATACTCAATTAGTTTTTCTTTTCCCTCTGTAAATGTGGCGCATCGGCTCTCACGATTATTTCTAAATTCTGATGGAAATGTGTTAGAAATAGATCAGAATTTACTTTTTTAATAATTTGGAAGGACTCTTCTTGTTCTTGGCTCACTTAACTTCTTTTAAGTAATTTATCTTAAGGTCAACTCTGAATTAGTGGTTGCCTATCAAATTCAATAAGCAATATTCAATCGCGTTTAGAGTGTCCAGTTTACCCTATTTATACGTCAACAACCCCCCTCTTTCCGTCAAGTTAGTTATAACTAGTGAAAAATATTAAAAACAAAGCTTTTTACATATTTGAAATTTGAATTATTTTTAAGCATTTTAAATTATGCCTTATTTTTGCCACATTTTTGAGTGGCTGCGCCTTATTTTAGTGGTTTGGAGATGATCACTCTGATCGCGTTACATAATCAATACACACTCTTGTCTTGCTTTTGCCTTTATCTTACAGCCAGCAGTCATATTAATATTAAGGAAAAATTCCATACCAAAATTAAAATGCAACAAATTCCAAAAATTGGAACTTTTGTTTGACTATATTTTGTAGTAAATAAAGTAGCTATAGTTCTCTCCATTATTAAGACATGTCCAATCATATTACCAAAAGTTATACAAACAACTGTAATAGTCGTAAGGGAATAGTATATTGAATTAAATAAATTATTTTGTTTGGAGATGATTAGAATAAGCCTTAAAAATTAAATTTAATTATCCTTATATTTAATTATTATATTAAAAAATTAACTTACATAAATAACCGGCTTGATGAATAAATAAAAATAGCAATACTTTGTGAAATAAGAATAATTTTAGAATTATTATTTAAAACACAACTTTTCCACAATAAAAATAAATTTAAAAGAGAAGAAGGAATTAAAATTGTTATTGGGATTATTTCAATAAATGCAACAGAATAAACTGTTGGAGTTATTTCCATTTTTAATTTTACTAAAAATTCGTAAAAATTTGTGAGAGTGAACAATTAAATTTCATAAAGGTGAAATAGGTATTTTGTAAACGAGTTGGTTGATAGTTAATAGGTAAGAAGTTTAATTTAGAACCGATCTGTGATTAACCAGAACGAGTATTCTAAGAGTAAAACTAAATGATTTCCAATCATAGAATTATTAATCGCCGGCCAATCGAACAAGAACATTCTTAGTAAAAATAGTAAAAATCCGAATCCTAATTAAAGCCTTAAAAAGTAAATTTTATAGTGCAATTAAATTCTGACATATTCAAATGCCTCTAGTAACGACTTTATAGCAACATAATAAATTTAAATAATTATTTATTTAATTAGTATTTATTTAGCCGACATTTTTAAAGGTCAGGTTATTACATTTTTAATAATTCTAAGTATCTTAACAAAGCTAACAATTGATTTTTTTGAGACAGATGTTTATATTAAATAAAAAAACTAAATTAAAAATGTAAAATAAAATAAAATTCTCAACCTTTTAAATAATTTTATAAAGTAAACAAAAATTGTTTGAAATTTTTTTTGTTTAATGAGAATAAATAAAACAGATGTTTCATAAATACTAGCGGACGGATAATACTAGCATAAATACTAGCGGACGGAATTCAGAGTCAGAACCCACAGAGCCACTTATGGGTTAATAATAAGCAGCAAGTGCATAAAGTAAACATTTCGTATCCTGTACATAAATTTTCATTAAAAAAGAGTAAATAGAAAATAGGCAACTCTCCAGAAAATAGGCAACTCTCTTAGGATCTTAAAAAATATAATTCGAAGGAAACATTCATTTGAATTTTGATAATTATTTAATCCGATTAGCACAAGGGGGGCTAATTATTTATGTTACACCCTAATAAATACATATAAACTTTTAATTTATAAATAATTTTATCGGAAAAGTTTATTATAAGAGAATAAAAAATATATTCATTATTTAAATTATGGAAATAAAAATTTTTTATGTCCAATTGCCAACAGAAATGTAGAAATTGTTTATGGATAGTTCCAACAGAAATAGATCTGACAGGATAGTTCCGACAGAAAAGAGAGTAAAAAACATCTTTTAATCCAAGAAAATTTCAAATAAAATTTGATTAATAAACGGTAAAAAAAGAAGTAAAACTCAGAATAGTTTTATCATCATTCTAAACTTTTCATAAAGATTGCCATTATAATTTCGTAATCAACAGAAGTTGCAAATTTTTTAATCCACTCATTTGCATCTTTATTTTCTGCCAATTTCGTATAAATATAACTATAAAATTCTAAAACATTTGCATCACAGGTTGTTTTTAATCGGGTTAAAGCCCCGTTGGTTATTGAAGTGAAATTTATTTTGTCTGAAGCAGAAATGTTAGAAACTGGGTTGATAAATTTAGATTTCAATTTTTCAATTATTTGATCACGTTTTGAATTTATTTGAGATGTTGATGGACTTAAATTTAGATTTTATATAATTTTTTAAAAATAATAAATTTTTTGGTTATTTATTTGCTATATTGTTGCTTTTATTTCAAACTTGTGGTTAAGTAAACATTAAGGCTAGTACATTTATGAAGGAAGTGTGGCTTAGTTAAAAATTAGCTTCACTAGACCATTACAGCTGGATCTCGTTATGTACCTTTTACTTATTTTCTAAAGCGTTTGACTAGGCTTGTCGGTTTCACCAATCTGATAACCGAACAAAAAATCTTTGGGTTTTGTACCGGTTCGTTTCAGTTTGAAAACGATAACCTTATGGTTGAAATTAGTATGGAGGATGACATTTTACAATAATTTTTAGTTTCCTAATATTCTTATAATAAATCTATTAAATGTTATCTTGATAAGAACTGGAATTCAATTTTTCTGTTATTTTTAATAATATTTTAGTTAATATTTCAATTTCCTCATTCAACTGATTTCCGATTCTATCAAATCGAAATATATTAAATAATAATATTTTGTCCTTGTAGCTGTCAGTAAATGGAGATATACTCATTTTTATTATATGAAATAATAAATGGAGTTGATTGTTGTTTTTGAAAATCTGTCAAAAAATCTGTTTTTAACCAATATAAATGAGGCTATCATTTTTGGGCCCATTTGGTCTAAAAATAAATGATATCTTAACTGAAAGTTGGGGGTAATCCCATAATTGAGGGTAATCTTTTAAACATCAACATCTGAACTGTAAAACTTAAACATAAATGAATCAGTGAAATGAGTTCCTACACACAAAAAAATGAGTTCCTACACCATATGGCCAAGCAAAATGATTTCATAAGAATTTTCGATATATCTCACATAATCATGAATTTCTTCTTCTAGAGGTATCATTAAAGCATTTTGTAACCAATCAGCTGTGTAGATATAAGTAAATCCCTCAGAAAGATTAAAATCTACTAGGTTGATATTTTCAAAATATTTAATACGTTTTTCGCCTCCTTTATCAAGTAAATCAACATAATATGATAGTAAAAAGTAAAAGAAGAGTTTTATATGCAAATTTGTCGGCAAATAAAAGGATTCCAAAAATTTCTAAAATTGTAAAAATATGTATATTTTAACTAAAATTGTACTAGAGTGCAATTAGGTGTTGCCTGTTAATTTTTCCTTGTGGCGGCTCAAATATTCTTATTCTTCTCTATTTTCTCTCTTATCTTCTCAACCTTAATTACATCCCTCCCTCTAAACCTCACATGTTAGTTAAAAGAATGGAGTGAAATTAGGATGGGGTGAAACTAAGCAATAAATAACCTTGACTTTATCGCTTATAGTTACTAGATCAATTTTAATTGTTTGTTTCAATGGAATAAACTCTGAAAAATCTAAATTTTCCATAAATTCTTCCAAATTTTTGTTAATTATCTTCATATAAGTAAATTCTTCAAAATTAAATTCTTCGTAGCTCATTTCATCACGCAGATTATTTGAAAATTTTCGGTCAACTTCTGTAGAGATTAAGGATTTTAGTGGGTATTTTACATGTCATAAAAGAATCTTTGATTTTCTGATTCTTCTAACGGTTTCGAGTCCCAATAAAATATCATTGACTTTGTTCAAGTCATTACGTTTTCCTTAGAATTTGGAGCCTGTTATGGCAATAAATTAGGTGTCCCGTCCAATTTGTTTTCATCTACTAGTTCTCAAACATACTTAAATTGGTTCCTTATCATTTAAATTATTACCAGTAATTTCCAGTTTCAGTATCATTTTTACCAAAATTGATCCAATCTTTTTTGTGACTTTGGTACTAAATTTTCTTTCGCCATGCTCCAAATCTTTAATTATTCTCATTAATTGGTAAACCTTATCCTTAGCCTGTTCCCAAGGCAGATCGTTTTCTTTGGAAATTGGGACCAACTGTTTCAATAACCCTTCAATCGTTTCCATTAATCCAAACTCTGTTAATTTATTTTCTTGCTGACTTTTGTTATATAATATTTTATAATTCGCAATACGGTTAATAACGTTCAGAATTTTTCCATCCAGATCATTATTCTCTTTGTCAATTAATGCCGTTCGCGAATCTTCATTCACCACATGACGCAAGATACGAAATCGAATGGGATTAATGCGGGGCCCTTCCCAGATACATGAAAGAAAAGCAATTCGGAATCGAAAAACAATTGGGACATTTAACGGATTTTTAAATTCAGTTTCCATTTTTTGAATAAATTCTTCTCTAGCATTTGTAGAAGACAAATGATCGAGAATTGTTGGGATATGTACAGAATTGCAAATATTTAAATAAAAAATTAAATTAATTAAAATAAATTTCCAATTCATCTAAAATTAATTTTTAAAAAAATAAAAAATATTTCAAAATTAAAATAAATAAAAATAAATTTATTATTGCTTAAAATAAATAAAAAGAATGAATTTTAAAAAATTTTACATAAAAGATAAAATTATTTGTTTGCACTTTTGCCGCTACTTCATAAAGCCTTTACTCACGTGAAATGACAAAATAATGAAAATAAATAAAATTTCATAATTAACCGACAAAAAAGAATTTTAGAGTGTATAGACATTTAATAATTTTGAAATTTTTATTTTGTCTTTCCGACTAATGAAATAATGGCACTTTGAGTTTTCAATTAATTTAAGCTAGAATAAAGTGCTTTTGGCGTTATTGTTGTTACTATACTACGCCGTCTAGGACCAAAAATTTTCTAAGATTCAAGGATTGGATCTTTGCATGACAAAGACAACCACAATATAGAGACGACAAAACTCTCAAGAAACGTCTTTAGTTAAGAGTCAAGACCAAATTGGACGTCTCTAGTGTTTTACTTCTGGTTTATTTATACCAGAAGTAAAATTTTAAGTAATATTCAATTTCGTATACGTTTGGAATTTTTTTCTTTTCTAAAAAAGCTTTAACGTTAAAGCTATTACTCTCAAAACTTCTATTGATTAACGATAATAAAATAAGTTTTCGTTTAATTTGGTTAGTTTTTGTGTTTAATTAGCTGTTTTAAATAAATTTTTTGGTAATATTCAATTTCGTACTCCAACTCTCCTCTTTTAGAAAGATTTAAACTCCCTTCCTCAACTCCATACTATTTCCTTATAACATCCAATCAGACAATAAAATAATTAAATTTTTATTCAGAACGTTCATACTGATATTCCTCCTAAAATTCAAAGGAAAATTACAAAATAGCCGCGCGCTGTTATGTAAATAATAAAAATGAAATTTACATGATTGTAAGGGTGCTTTATTGGTTTGGCGCAAATTTTTTTGATATTGTTCTCTTTTTGGAATTGATATGAAGAAATGCAACTTAAAAAGTTGTTATTATACATAGATGTGTTCATTTCTCTACCATTTAAGCTTTATTTGATCTCGTTATTTTTAATTCGAATAAAGTTATGTTTTGTCAACAAAATAAAAAATTTTTTTTAATTATTAATATTAAAAGGGAGCTAATTATGGGTATAAAATCATGTACTGATTGAAAATGCTCAATTAACGTATATACTTAAATAATTATTCTCTTCTTCGTTCTCTCTCAGTTAATTTCCCCTTTCTAATTCTCCTTCAACAACCGCAAGAAAAACCCTCATGATATCCCTTTGAATTTTTGTTTATTTAGCTGATAAATTAAAATTAGATACGCTCGAATACCCTTAAATAATTCTCAAAATTTTTTATATTTAATATACCAACAATTTTGCCAACAATTTTTTGTATTTAATAAAATACAAATAATTATTTAAAAGCTAATAAAAGCTTCTTTTTTGTTAATTTAAAATAAAAATTATTTTTGCCTGAAAAAATTTCTATAAACGATATTCTTTGATAAATCCTTAGAGGCTTGATAAGCAGCATTTATCAACCTTATTTTAATTAGAAAACCCCCTAATTTATATTAAAAATGCAAAGAAATTTTGTTAAAAAATGCAAAGTTTGTGGGGCAAAAGAAAATGTTTATTATCATTATGGAGTTTGTACTTGTAGGGCTTGTGGGGCTTTTTTCAGGTATTTTTATCAATAGAATTTTAAAATATTTGGTAAAATTCCGTCATAACTCCCATACTTCGATTCGGACAAACAATATTTCTTTCGACTCAGCTTGGCGAACTGAGTCGAATGACACCAAAAATAGCTGCCGGACTCACCTATGTGCCGAGATAAAGTCGCCTGAAAATCGAAAACTATAGGGGGACCAAGCTGATTTTGGGGGGTAAAAAATTCGAATATGAAAAATTTTAACTCATTCGACTGAACTTGCCAAATCTTAGGATAAGAAATATGAAAAATAATAAAAAAATAAGAAATAATAATAAAAAAGATAAGAAAAAATTTTCCCAAAAGTTTCTTTTCAAAAGGCGTCATCTTGAAAACAAAAATGAATGGAAATATAAAAAATGTAAATGTTCACAAAAGATCAAGGATGAAAAATCCCAACCAGATTTGACAAAATGTAAAAAACATAGACTTGATAAATGTGTTTCTGCTGGAATGAAAAGATTGGGTTTGTCAAAATAAATGTATCACCATCACTAGAGACCCGAACCGATCATTTTATCGGTTTCAATAACCAAAACGCTTATATCCGCCGAGATCCCTCCAAATTATTGATAAATTAATCGAACTAAGCAATGTTTATCCACAAAATCTACCAATATCCCTGCAAATCTCCAACACTCTTTAAATCACTTCACATCCTTTTATATCCCTTCATGGGGAATAACTGAGGTACATATACATATAATTACAGGGGAAAGATCTCAAAACGGATGTATTACTGGTATAACACAGGTATAGCACCCCTTTAGGACGTTATATGGGAACAAGTATGTATATTAATGGAATATATACTAACAGTAAGAACGTCAACATTTTTATCTCTGTATCCGGTATCATATATGTATATCCCTGTTTATATGTCTGATAAAATAAAATATATAGAGGTTAAATTCTTCCTCCAACTGGAGGTCGAAACAATAATCAACCAGGGTAGTTATTACTGGAATTACGGTATCCAATATTTAAAAATACAGCTTTAATTAGAAAATAATTTAAGTTGTTGGTTATATACGTCAAGATATACACAATGAAATGATGGAAGAACAAAAAAATGAAATTAACGTAAATTTATTTATTTTATACATGAATGGGAAACAACGATTAGCCGACTTTTGCGGCGCGTACACTTGCGGCTCAGACATTTGCGGCCTATTTTGACACTTGCGGTCCCGACACTTGCGGCTAAGAAATTTTCGGCGCAGACATTTGCGGCTATCAACTTGAGGCCCAGACACTTGCGGCCCAGACTATTGCGGTTTTGACATTTGAGGCTCCCCCCTATTGTGACACCTGCGGCCCGACATTTGCGGCCCCAACATTTGCGGCCAGACATTTGAGGCTATGATTAAAAAATTAAGTAAATTTTTTAAATTAAAAGTAATTTTAAGTAATTTTTTAAATGATTTTTTTAATTTCCACCTATTTTACCCTCCAAGTCCCATTATATTTCCTTTAATATCAACCTTACATCTTCCTAAAAATTCTTCAAATATGTATACCTAGATTCCGCTTTTAATAAATGCTTTTATCAATATTAAGAAATAATTTCGTTTCAAATTGCATTGAGTGCATCTAACCTTCATACCTTGCATGAAAGCTTATTCATAATTTGTGATTAACTGGGTGACTTTATAAATCCCGAAACGGAATTAATGATGGTATTCATAAGTTTAAGATAAAAAATTATCTTAGTCGAAATAATAATTGTCAACCCTTAAATAATTACCCCGTCTCTATTATTTACTCCTTCCAGCAAGAGAATGAAACAATAATTACCCAGGATAATTAATACATTGAGTTAAGGATTTGAGAGTTAAGATTTGAGAAAAATCTCTCAATAAGGTTTTGAGAATTGGAATCAGAAACTATTGACCGATATTAATTGAACGATAAATTATGATTTTTAATTAAATTTTTTAATCATAGCCGCAAATGTCTGGGCCGCAAATGTTGGGGCCGCAAATGTCGGGCCGCAGGTGTCACAATAGGGGGGAGCCTCAAATGTCAAAACCGCAATAGTCTGGGCCGCAAGTGTCTGGGCCTCAAGTTGATAGCCGCAAATGTCTGCGCCGAAAATTTCTTAGCCGCAAGTGTCGGGACCGCAAGTGTCAAAATAGGGGCGAGCCGCAAGTGTCTGGGCCGCAAATGTCTGAGCCGCAAGTGTACGCGCCGCAAAAGTCGCATCACCGAAACAACTCAGCTACTGCTGACTAGGGTTGTCTCGAAAAAAATTTTTGAAATCGAAGAAAATCATCTAAATATCTTTAGTTCATAAAATCTACGTAACTTAATAGAATTTATTTAAAAATTTTCGGCACTACTCGTTTATGAGACCGAGTAACCCCTTTAGTCGGGGGAGTAAACAGTCGTTGGGTTCTGCACCAGTAACATAAACCTATCCCTTTTAACGATATTCACGTTTAGGTTCCGAACTATCCTCCGTATTAGCACAAAAATTTTGAAAAATTGAAAAAATAAAATAACATATTTCCATTGGACTCATAAAGTGTGATTGGACTCATAAACTGGACTGGGCCATATTTTCCATATCTCTTGAAATATGTTGAATATCCGAAGGAATAGAACGCTTTAATTAACGAACAGAATTAAAATTCTCTCTATTTTAAGATATTAAATCCTTCAATTGTCCACGAAACCAAAAAAGACATGAGCCTGATAAACTCGATTTTACCAATTATTGAAGCCAAAAAACGTATTATGCATGCATTTACTGATTTGGATGATATATTTCTTTGTGGCCCGATTTTGTTTGAAGAAATAATTTTGTCTAATTTTAATATTTTTCGTTTAGTTGATAATTTCTCGGTAAATTTTAATTTAATTTTTAATAAAAATTAATTTTGCTTTAAAGCCAAATCCAACTCCAATACATTTAGATGAAGTAAATAGTTGGGAATCCTCAGCACAAAATAAATTATTTAAAAGTAGAGTTCAAAAATGCTTTTTAGTTGACAGACTTTTGTGTTTTAGCATAGCTAATTCTATGCCTGTTTTTGAAAAATTGACTATATCTGATAAGGTACTTCTTATAAAAAAATAAGGATGAGATTTGGTCGAAATTCGAAGCAGATTGCTTCAGAAAGCTCCAACCACCGACTTATATATTTTGAATGGGTTCCGCCTCTAACTGCCCATTCCGGTTCCGGAAAGTTCCGATGTTTTTTGTTCCGGTTCCGGGAACCGGAATTCAAATTGAATCCGCTCTGGTTTACAAATCGGTGCACAACTTGGAGTTTACTTATAATCTTTGAGGGAAATAAATGATTGACAATAAGGAAGGAAAATTAATCTGAGATCAAATAGGGGTGGGGGTGGTCTATGAAAAAAGTACCCAATTAACACCAAACCTTAATTTTATTTTTATAAAATAGATTGCACATCTAAGGAATATTTCTTATGTGTTTACATCATTTACACGCACCTATCTAGCTTGGGAATTAGGTTCTGAAACTTGGATACGTAAAAATAATTATATGCCAGCTCTAGCTATTATGAAGCATACTGTAAATGATAACAAGTAAATAAATTTTTTTATAATTTTCTTGAAATTTTAATTTTCATTTGAATAGAAATTTAAAAAAATTTTAATAAAAAAATTTTTTAATTTATAGAATGATTAAATGGACAAATTTTGCATATACAAAATCGGTTGTTCACTTCAAACGTGCTGCATTATCAGAAATTGAATTTGCTTTATTAATAGCTATTATTTTTACTAAATCGAGTAAGAACTTTAATTTATTAGGGATTTTTAGAAAATTTCCGCACAATAAATGGACAAAAATTTGGCTTCTTATCTCCCAAAAATTCAAAAAATTCAAAAAAATCAAATCCCCATGAAGAATGGGAATTTGATATCTAGGGATCTATAGGATTAAGGAGCTCTACCATTGAGCAACTGGGGCATCGAAAATGCTGTCTCTTTCCCCTTTTAGGTCTTTTAACCCCCGCCTAAGCGTTTTAAATGCTGCTAGATGAATCATACTTAGAATATTTGCGAAATTTAAAGCATAAAGGAGTTAATTTTGCAAATTTATACGCATGCAACTAAAGGCTGTATTTAACTTACACCTCATTTATTCGCAAGCCAACAATAGGCCTTTGTGGTTAATGTCCAGCTCGCAACCCACATGTCCGCAAAGGCATTTCTGCAAAAATCATTTGTCGCTGCATTCTTCACCTTTACCTTTCTTTTATTTGATTGGTTGCTAATTTAAATAACTAATTTAAATAAACTTTAAATTTTTCACAAAAAGATGCTAAAGACATGTCTGCTGAAGGAAAAGAATTACTTTATAGCGAATCTGCTAAATACACAAAAATTTTACTTCGCTATAATCAACGAAGATTAGGTTTAACTGAAGGGGCTCAAAGATTGGCTGAATGTAGCCGACTAATTAGTCGTTGTATTGAAAATGAATATACTTTGCGATTAATGCTCTCTCATCAACGTCAATATTATTCAATGAATGTTAATTACTTTAAATGTTCAAACTTTATGGAAAAATTTTTGGAAAGAAGTGATTAAGAAACGAATAATTTCTATTAAAAATATTTATTTTTTCTCCTTATTTTGTTCGGGAATTATTTTTTCATTAATGTAAAATACTAGCAAAGGTGCTCGCACTTCGGGCGAGCTTCTCTGCTAGCCAAATCCTAAGTCATAACAAAATTAAAGTCAAATCAACTTATTACCGGACGAAAACTTTCTCATGTCCATTGATCAACTTTTTATTTTTATCAACTTTTTCAACTACCAAATCCCTATGAAAAGCACTTAAACTATCTAGTTTATCTAAAAACGTTAAGAAGCACTTAAACTTTATAAATATTTCAATAAATAAACGCTTTTTGGGATATTTTGCCATTTTTAATTAAAAACTAAACACAACGCTAAACACAGCAAAATTCAAAGCTGCGGACAAACAGACAATTCTAAAATTTAATATAGGATATTCACATTGGGTATAGCCGAATCCATGATAGTTGTACCTTTTTGAGACGAAAGTCGGGGAATTTGAGGTCTTTTTGGAAATTTCCCGCCCACCAAAAAATTATTGTAATACATAGAATTAAGTATTCGGAGATATTTTGTAACATATTTTTATTTGTATTTCCATATTATATCCCTCCTCGTTTACAAAACTTTACTATTTTTAAAGTTAATTTAAATAAATTTAAACTTTCCATAAAAACATGCTAAAAACTTATTTTCGGTTAATGCTCTCTCATCAACTTAAATATTATCCAATGGATGTAACTTACTATAAATGTTCAAACTTTTTTGAAAATTACTTGAATAAATTAAAAATTAATGATTTTTAAAATAAAATACCTATATATATTTTTTTCATTGAAATTTTAAAATTTATTTCTAGCAATTAAAATTATTTTTAATTCATCCTTTTTAAATTTTTCCAAGAATTCCTTATTTTTTCTAAATTTTTAACTTTAGGGTTCGTGGTGCCCAGAGATGCTACAAATAGCCTAAAAATTTATCTACAAATAACCTAAAAAATTTATTTAAAAACTAACACCAAAAGGACATACAAACATGTACATTTACAATGGATAAGAACAATAAAAAAATAAAATGGGTCACTAAAATTATAAAGCAAGTATATAAAATACCTAAATGTGATTATTAGGGTTGCCGTTTTCGAGTCGGGCCGACAATCGAGGCATTTATTTTCGGGCCTGTTTTTATCGAGTAGGGCCGTTACGAGTCTTTTTCGGGGCAAACATCTAGGCCCGACTCGATCTTTCGGTCCGAGTCGGTCCATTTTGGCAACCCTAGTGATTATATTAAAAAATTCTCAACATTATACATAATTATTTGATTACGTAAATAAAAATTGTTTGAAATAAATAGAAGTTTCCATATTTAACTTTAATTTTTTGTAAAATTATAATGCAAAAAGACTAAATTATGGTTTTTTGCTTTAGGTAGGATGAATTGAAAGATTTGGAATCTTGCTTATATTATGAATAGAGTTATTGGTTTAACACTAAAATGAGTAAAAAACTGATAAATTTCGCAAGAAAAATTTTTCTACAATTTTTTCTATCACATCCAAGACTGTTTTAACATTTCAAAATGCAATTCCTGTTCTTTCGAAGCAGCAACAATTTGTTGTAAATTAATTACTGTTTGCTTTTCAACGTTTATTTTATTAGTAGAGTGTCCACATTTTATAAAATTAATTATTGTTGTAATTATTTTATTTAAATTTTTGTTTAAAACTGGGTGGAAACTATAAAAAGAAATTTTGTTGTTAAATTTAGACATGTGCATGGGCACGGATTATTAGGCCCTCTCCGAAAGGAATGGCAGCTTCCAATTTTTCTTTTTATTCCCTCTTACTTCCTCTAAATCTCTCAATGTGACCTTAATCCTCTGATATTCCCCATAATCTATAAAATTAGGGTTGCCAAAATGGACAGACTCGGACCTAAAGATCGAGTCGGGCTAAGATGTTTGGCCAAAATGAACCGTACCGGGCCGTCTCGATAAAAACAAACACGAATCTGGCCCGACTCGAACAAGACTCGATATATTTTTACCAAATTTATGGACAGAAATGGGAGAAATCCAGCCGATCTTTAGTTGCAATCGTTATTTAATAAATTGGATTTTATGTCAAAAGGGTGTTGAAAAATAGAGCCCCACCCTCAAATCAGCCACACCTTGGAGGATAGTTGAAAAATACAGCCCCATGGGCTGTATTTGAAGAAATAATGTATTTGTGCTTATATTTATAGAAAGATGTAAAAGATAAAAACTACAAGGGAGTTGGTCTAACAACGAGATAGGGGGGGTAAGTGACTCAAGGAATAGAGAATTTTGTTTTGTGCATGATCAAAAATGCCAACTAGTTAAATATTAAAATACTTACGTTATTACCGTAATTTCAATACCTAGCTTACAAATTGATTGTATTATTAAAGAGCAACTAATAACATTAGCAAGCATTTCATTCGTTAAATTAAGGTAATTTATTGTTAGAGTTCCAATATTTGCGCACAAAATATTAATAAAATGAAAGAAAAAGGAAGGTGCCAATTGCTTTCCTGTATAAACATTTTCTAATTGTCGATAACGCTCATTCAAAGTGTAATTATTTTTTGTGTTAGATTTGTTATTCAAATATTTTTTATACATTTTTTTATTGAAAGCTGTCAATCGAGAAAATGCCTGGAAAATTTTGAACATATAAATTAAAATATAAACATACAATTAATTCTAATATACTGAATAACATTGAAACATTTGTTACTATAACACTAAATGAATTAGTTACATTGGCATTTGTAGTATTTGTTGGTATCAGTCTATCAATTATTATCAAAAATAACTGAAAAATGAAATAACTTTAAAGTTTTACTCCGTCATCAAAAATTTCGGGACATTTGAAAAATTCCCTTGCTTCCTTCACTGCGTAGCAGGGATGTCACGGGTTGAGAAAAATGTCGGGTCGGGTTTCGGGTCGGGTTTCCAAAATTTTTCTCGGATCGGGTTTCGGGTTGAGCAAAAAGTCGGGTCGGGTTTCGAATCGGGTTTCGAAATTTTCATCGGATCGGGTTTCGGGTCGAAAAAAAGTCCGGGTTTCGGGTATCGGTTCGTCGGGTCGGGTTAGTTAAAATTTGAACATAAAGCCAATTTTTTGGAGCTGTTGGGGATAACAGATATTTAGGGGGTTAATGTGATGTGTCCTCCAATATCCGTGCAACTCCCCGATATATCCCAAATTCAACTTTATCCCTCAAATTCTCTGATATTTTGGGATTAGACGGATTTTTGGGAGTAAAGGAATACCTCCGATAAATATCGGGTGATATGTATATCCAGCCTATATCAACCTAATCCCTCCAAATCTGAAGAATTAATGATACCTTCTTAATCATTTCTAATTCCATTATATGATGATTAATGAGAGAAAACCCTGATTCAGACTAATATCAGGGGATTTGGAGATTAATGTCCAACACCCATGATATCTATCCAATGCAACTATTGATCATCTTTTGCGTCGCTGCAAA